AGGCAGGCAGGCAGGCAGGCAGGGCAGGCAGGCATGCAGTTTGTCATCGTGGATTGCTTGGCTTTGGTGTATTACTACTGCGAGTGTCTGCTGCTGGTGCAGCACGTCCTTCCGATTGGGATCAGTATCGTCACTGAAAGAAGCCATTGGGTGATCCACCTTTCTCAACACACCTTGTCACGCTGGCCGCTACTCAGGGTACTCATGGAGCGGCACTTTTTGTTTCCAAAGTGCTGGAATTACGACGAGGAAGCTTGGCATCTCCTTCCCTAGCTGAGCCCCACAAGTCGATGAGAACAGGTTCACATGTTTTGAGTTTCAGGATGTCGCGGAGTCTAGCGGCATGGATCTGCAGCCATGCCTGACTGGTTCATGATGCATTTTGGGTGCACACCTAAAAGGTGACTTGAAGTGGCAGAGTGCTGCCGAGGTATGTGACCTCCTCACATTCCCTAAAGCCGGCGGCTTTGATAGGACCGCCTTGCTCGGCACATGCTCATGACCAGCTGCCAATGCCCGGATAGTGAGAGGACGAGGGTTAACCAGGGCATGCTTGGATGCCGGACAAGCGAAGGAGCCGTGAATTTCAACATGAATATCAGTCCGCAGCAAGGGCCTGTGGAGTGGGTGACCCGCATCTCCGCAGAGAAGCTCAAAGGTCTTGTATCTGGAGGCGGAAATGCTCCTCAGCAGCAAGCAGGACACGAGGAGACAGGCGACCGGTTAAGACTGGGCATGCCTTAGATGACGGTGACGCACAGAGAACATGAATGGTCTTCATGCCACATGGCCCGCCTCGGTGAATGGTGCGCCACAAACATCACGAGACAGGGATGGCTGACCCCTCCTGAAACCCTGCTCTTGCTTTCAGGATTGGCCGGAAATCTTGGCAGTCCACCAGCACACACATGACGTCTCTTGCCGCAATGCTTGGGTCATGACAGCATTCCCTACCTAGAAAGAGTGCCAAGCCAGCTGGGCCACTCAGATAGCAAGCGGCAAGTTCTTCGAGATCCTGCTGCCCAGCTGTCTTGAAATGCCGGCTCCTGACCTTTTGTGTTCGTGAGTCCTTTATGACCTAAGGAACAAGGACGGGTCCGTTGCTTTCCGATCGGAAAAGGAGAAGGCGGGCTATGGCTTGGAGGCAGGAGTGGTTGCATGTCGAGGAGTTCCGAGGCAAATGCGCACTCCTAGGTGGACTTGTTGCATTGCTTCGAGGAGCAATCCTTCGCCAACTTGCCGGAGAAAGGTTGGCCACGTTTGCGGGTCCAAGCAGGACAGCAGTTTCTGCAGCATTGCTTGCCGCTCGCTCGCAATGGGGACCCAGCTGCCTTTGTGATTCTGACAGGCTTGACTGTCCTGTCTTAGGTTCGACTCTAATCACCTTCAGCGGCCTGTGGTTTACGGCCTGGGCTGGGGCGAAGAGATGTGCGCTCCGCTCCTTGTCATTGGTGGCGTCCGAAACTTGGTTGAGATTTAGTGATGTCCTTGATCCTTGGGCCGTGAATGTCAGAGCCCCAAGACAGACGGTGGCCGTGAAACCGCCCAGCCTGTGTGTTGCAGTAGACCAGAGCTGCAGCTGATTCTGGCTCAACTCCTAGGCCACAAGCTGTGAAGTCTCGATGTTTCTCTCTGAACCGTAGGCGCCCGACTTGTATCGCAAGCAGCAACTGAACCATTAAGATAAGCAGCCTCGGGCACTTTTCCCATGTCGCTGAGAGTCTTATTCTTTGTCCTTGCCCCGATCGCAACATCCAGCGCTGCCTGCGAGGAGCTCATGGAATAGATGGTTAATGGATTGCTTGCATGCATGTGCATGCCCCCAGTCAGTTTTCCCACTTGGTCAATGTAGGAGGGCAGGATCTTCGTGGTGGGCTCTGGGATTGCCGGTCTGGTTGCTGCGAGCTCCCTCAGGAGATTTGGAGCATTGGCTGAACTTGGTGCTTGACCTTTCAGTAAGAGATATCATAGAAGTAACTGACTGAGCCCAGGTTGCAACGTTACTGTGCTAGAGGCACTCGGCCGGTTGGGCGGTCGAGCCCACACCTTGCACACGGGCGTATTCGCCGGCAGGGAGGAGGGCGCGCACTGGGTTCATGGTGGGATCGACAATGTGCCAGTATCAACTTTGTTGGACATGCATAAGGTTGGGCAGGTGCGTGTCGGAGGGGATGATGACTACGAAGGGTCGCGAAGCCGCTTGTTGATGCTGTCACCTTCAAACATGCCTCTCAGTGCAGCGGAGCGAGACGTGTCTTTCGATCTCTTCGAATCTGCCCGGGCCGCGAGCGAAGCATTTGCGGCAGAAGCTTGGCAGAAGACACAGCCTGGTCAGCCCGCAAGCAGCTGCGATCTCAGGTGTTTTTCTGTCCTTTCGAGATATATGCCTAAGCAAGTAAGAAGCAAGAGAGAAGGCAACATGGAGATTGCATGAAGGCAACATGTGGCCTCCAGTCTTTACATAAACCCTTGCCGGCCTCGCAGGCACGTCCGGCCTTAGATTCCGAAGTCGCAGGCGGTTGCTTCGCCGGCTGGGGTCCGGGCTGATAGGTTAAAAGGATTGCGTGCCCCTTGTTTCTATCCTGGTTGAGTCGCTGCAAACCAGAGGCAAAAAATGGCTTCCATGGCCTTGCAAATCGTAGTGGCTGTGTCGCTACCCAAGGACAAGCTCTCGGAGAAAGACTTGGGCACGTCGGTGGCGGATGTGTGGCGTCGTGCACTGGCGGTGAATTACTCCTCTTATGGCCGAGCTCTTTTGGACTGGCATCAGAAAGTGTCTTACGAACAGGACTGCAGCAAACGGTAGAGAAGCCCGTGCATGAACTGCGATAACGGGGTGCCCATGGTGTTTACTGGCATGCTGGACCCAGTCAGGTCGGGAAATCGCAGTGTGCATGTAGGAAATGACTTGGAGCGGGCTGACGTGGGAGAACGGCCTGAACTCCTGTCCGTGGTCCGAAAGTTGAGGATGTAGAACGGGTCGGGCGGATTTGCATTTCCTCCGAAGTTTGCTGGAGCCGACTCCTCCGACATGCGTTTTGTTTGACGTTCTTTTCTTCGCTTCCCTCTCTCACGAGGCACTCGCACATGCAACTTGTTATGCAACCTATTGGTAGGTGAAGCTGTCAGACCACGACTACTATAGCGTCATTTCTGCACGTTTCTTTTGCTATTTGCCTACACCGTTTTTCGTGTGTCTGCTCGCCTGAGTCACTAGCAAAGTCTTGAAATCCAATCCAGCCTGGTCGTTTCCGTTCCTGTTGGAAGATGGCTCCTTTCATGTCCACTTTCTCAATGACGAGGACGATGGCATAAGATGAAGCGCAAAGATGTTCTGGTCTCGTGGGTGTTTGGATGAGCTTTGCCGTGGCTGCCAAGCCTTGTTTGGTCCGTCTGTTGTGGGCACAACAGCCCAGCTGGATGAGCTGAGCGAAGTGCGACAATGGATTGCAACCTGTGAAGTTGCATAGGGGTGGCCTTCGATTCTTCCCTTCGGCGCGCGACCGATTGGCGTTGCTGCGAGCAAATTTCGCCGTTGGCGCTCTAGATTGGAAGATAAATAGCAACTGTCACCAAAACTTCCAAGTCCACGGCAGGACTCAGGTGCCTCCATTCAAGAGCTCAGTGACCGGAAGCATTAGTTGTACAGTTGTACTATGAATTAGATGATGGACAGTGCGATATGTGTGCTGAAGCATCACGAAGACCTTGCACTGCATGCGTTGAAGCGAGGTGCTCTGGCTGAATATGTAGAGGATTATTCGGACTTCTACTCCAATCGCTCTGACGGTTGGGAGATGCATGGGGACGGCTTCGTGAAAGGCCCCTGTTTCTCGCTGTGTCGTATCTGCTGAAGCCATGAAGATGTCGACAGACGGTGTCCGTTGCTACAGGTGGCTATTCCACATTGGTTCAGCGTTTAGCTGCCGGGTTGGAGGTGCGCTTGCAATCTCCGGTGTCGCGCATCTCACTTAATCAAGCTCGCAGAGTGCTGAATCCGAGCTTGCTACACTCATCGGCGCGCTGATTCCGAGCTTGCTACCTGCGCACAAGGAATTGAGTATTCGAACGACAGTGTCGCCATTACAGTCAACGAGCAGACGCTTCGAGGCTGGTCCGATGGCAGCGGGGCCGGGCCTTTGTCCATTTTGGTCTGTCGCCTGTGTCGCCCAAGGCACAGCAGTCATACTCACGGCCTCAGTGGGAGCATTGCAGGCTGAGACTTACCTAAAAGCTAGCTGTTAGATGTGCAGCCTCTGTCTCTGTCTTCGGGAGTTGGAGTTTCTGTTGCATGATCGTGTCCGAGGAGAACATTGCCTTCGAACCAGCGCTGCCCAGCTGGAAGCACGCTGCACTGAAACGCCTGGGCATGGGTAATGTTGCCAAAGTGCCGCTCGGCACATGTCGCATGCGTGTGGGCGGGTTCGGTAGGCCCTCCCAGGAGAACTGGCACTTGAGACGCTGGGCTCTGAATCAAAGGTACAGTGGTTGCCCAACAACCCTGTAGAGTTGTGAATGTGTTTCCCTGCTCCAAAAGAAACTGCTTTGAAGCATAATGATGCTGCCAATTGTGTAGGCCGCCGTCTTGTCCAGAGCCAGTGCACAACCGACACCAACGGTTCTTGCCAACTTGTCCGAGAAAGACTGCAGAATTGAGAAGTTGTTTCAGCCCAGGGACAAGCTGGCTCGGAAATACTCTCCGTGGGGTGCGAAGCACAGTGATTGCATGGAGTGTGAGACGGCGTTCTGAGGCTGGTGAAACTCTCAAAGGCCATACCCCTACTTCATGGAGTCTACTCCTTGGGGCGGCTGGCTGAAGGAGAGGAGAAGCATCGGCAGCTCCTCTCCTACTGTATCTGCGACGAAATGGAGGGCTCCAGGTCACCGATCCTAGAAGCTTGGTTAAGTTTGAACTTTCGACTGTGATGCAAGGCTTGCTCGCTTTGCGGCCTTGTGCTGCCTTGCACAGGAATGCTTCCTAGGCGGCCAGCAGGCCATCACTGCAGAGATGATGGATGCTGATGAGTTGAATCGAAGCTTGGCAGTGCATCAAGCGGCTGTCTGCATCCCAGCAAAGCGTGCGCGACCGCAAGCTGTCTGACTACCAGGTCAAGTGGCTTCCGAGCTTCATGCTGCTCTTGGGGCTGACGTAGAGGAGGTCATGATTACCAAATGGTCCAGCAACCCTTACATCAAGGGTGCTTGGAGCTATGCTCGAGTGAACTCGTCTGTGGAGGACCGACATGCAGGGTTTTTGGATCAGAGAATTGCTGAAACGAGGCGGATGAACCTCCGTCTACATGTGGCGAGGATTTGAAAGGTGCTGCTCGACAGTAGCCCAAGATCACTAAAGCAGGCGCAGCAACAGCTGCTTCAATAGAGTTGGCCTCGTGCTGCCATCCAGCAGGGCAATCGCCAAAGAAGGCTGGATTCGACACGTGACGCATACAAGTTCTCCGGGCGTGTCCTTGTTAGGACTTCGATGCTTTGGCACGCAGCATCGGCAAGCTTCACTTCGCTGGAGAGGGTACTTGCAGACTCCTCTATGGCTGCTCGGTGGCCTTTGAGGGTACTGCTGTCCATGTGAGAGTACGCACTTTTTCATGGACGCGCTCGATGGTGTTTTGATGCCTCTCGTGAGGAAATGTGCATGCCGCAGTGGTGAGTGGAGCTCGCGCAGCTCATCAGCTTCTGAATCTGGAGAGACATGCAGAAGACAGCTGGCCACTCTTCAGACGGGAGCCTTAGCTGTTCGAGTCTTTTCGAGCCAGGGCCAGAAGTCGTGTACCGTAATCAATGTATACGAAAGAGATGTGTGTGTGTGTGTGTGCGTGCAGCACATTTTGATCTCTGCCGAAGCTGGGTTTCGGACAAACAGCTTTCAGCCGCCCCAAAATTATGCCAGTACAGATGCCCAAACCATTTTGACGACCACGACCAACGCGACCACCATAACGACAACTACGACTAGGACAGACTCTCAAGAGACCACGAGGAACGACCGCTGGGAGACCGCCACTAGGAGACTGCCAAATGCTTTCCCTCAATGACTGGCGGGATTCAGGAGCACGGTGCTTCGCCCAACAGCTCCCGGAATTCAGGCTCGAATGCTTCCCACATGCACTGGCGAATTCACGAGCACAGCCAAGCTGCCTCCCGCAAAAACTGGCAGGCAGGGTTCAGGAGCGCGGCACCAATGCTATCGGCGGAATTCAGGAAGGGTTCATAGTCCTCGGGCATAAACGGTGCTCCATGTATGACAATTTTTCGCATGGATCCTGTGTAGATAACAGAACATCGTGAGTGCAAACTGATGCAAACTACAGTATGCACCGCACCAACGGAGCCACATTTCGGGGAAGGTTCTTCCCCGCGCATCGCGCCAGCGGTTCTCTGGACCCAGCTTTTCTGGCTACTTACTTACATACTTACCTGCTTAACTACTTACCTGCATGCAGACATATGTACAGACATACATGAGTGCACACACATGTAAAAACATGCATACATGCGCGCTCGCCTGCGGATCAAACAGCTCCGAAACATGCAAACTTTTCCGCGATACGGAAAACCATTCTAATCGAGCGGCACAACTGGTTTAGGTCGATCGCAAATGTACATCTTGAGAGCAGCTTCTTCCGAAAACACTGGCTGACAAAACGTGCTTGGGATTTCAGGCTTGTAAACACGCAGTATTTTGGTCGTCTTTGTGTTGTACTATTTTGTAGGGTGTTGTGACCGAAAAGCAGAACAAAACATATTTCGATCAGACATGTAAACCTACAAAGGAAATTTCTGCCGACAACATTTGCCCACGAGCCCGTGTTTGGAATTCCAAATTTCCGGTTCTTTTTCTGTTTTCTTTTTCTGCCCGCACGCTTCTCTTTTGTCTTAAAGAGGTTTGTAGGGGGTTCTTCAATTTTTTTTGGCTACCGGCGCGCCGTCTGTAGACCTACAGACCACCCGGACCCTCATGCCCTCATGCTTGAGCAGCAGCCAGTTTTGGGGAATTAGACCATCTCCGATGTCTGAAGAGCTTGCGGGATCCCTTTGATGATGTTTCTTGGTGAGGACATTCTGCAGCTATGCACAACTTCTGGAGCAAGGCCATCCGCTATAACATGACCTCGCGGCTAGCATTGATAGAGGATGTGCCTTGTGTGAAAGTGCACGGCGCAGGCAGCGAGCCGCGCCGAAGAGTGTGCACAGACTTCCACTAAGCCAGCGTTCACCACGTCCTGCAAACCCCTTGCTGTTCCTGGGCAGCTCCCAGAACTTGTTCATGCGTTGTAATAGTACCAGAGACTTCAACAGTTGGAGGTCGGTTGGCTAGGGCTCGGTTTTGGATGCTGCCGTGTTCGAAGACTCATTTTTGAAGGCCGGGGTTCAAGCATCAGGCTAGTCTGATTACGGGCTGGGGCAACGATGGCCAGCGAAGTCCCTTGCTTCGACAACCTCCGACGAGAAAGGCAACCAGAAGTTTGCCGAGGATCCGGCAGTCGATTGGGTTAACACCCAAAGATCTGGGGCTCTGGTGGCCGGTTTCTGCCTAGTTGCGGCTCTGTGAATCCGGGTGCTGACAACTATGTGGCTCAGATCGCTCGGTTATTTCAGCTAACCGTGCAGATTAACTGTGCCAGCCCGACCGAGAAGAAAAGTGATCGTCACAAGACTGTGCATGCAGTCGAAGCTATAGGTCCTGGAGGCGATGGACCATTGGGGGTGGTTACGGTAGGTGCCTTCTCGGTCTCCAGAGCTAAGGACCAATGCCAACCATTCTGAGCTCCTTGTCTTGTCTCGGATGCAATGCGCCAGCAGACTTAGGCAGTGGCGACCCTTTCCTTGCCATGTAAGGTTCGATAGATGGGTATGCCTCCCGATTCACAGCGGCACGGCTGACAATTGGTAATTGAAACAGCTAGATGCCCCATGCTGCACTCGCCGCCCTCGTGCTGCAGGGACTGTGGGAGGATGTTGTGCGTGACATCAAACGGCTGCTTTCTGAACTTCGATCTGAAGGGGGACGAGCCTCCTGAAGCCGCCTTGGACACACGCAGCAATGTGAGAAAAAGGGTCTGCGAAAGGGTGTGCGGCGCGTGCGGGCTGAAGCCCACCTCACTGCAGCACATGGCGAGCCGTGAGTTGCATTGCCCCGCCAAGGCAAAGCCTTGGAATGAACTCTTTGTCGTGCGCCCTGCTGGTTTTGAGCCCAAACCACGGCTTCAGGCTGGAGCTTCCGGGCGACGATGCACCGCCTCCAAGCACCAGAAACCCCCAAACCTGGGCGGAGTGGAAAGCCCCGGATCCAGCATGCCATTTTGAACGGAAAGCAGATTCGTCAACATACCGGGGACGTTTATGTGATAGATAAGGTCAACCCGGCTGATTGGCAGAGTCTGGCTTCAAAAAGGTCAGGTCAACGGAGCACGCGACCCTCTTGCATGCTGGTGCTGGTCTGCGTTGACTTCATAAAGTTTGATCGGAACGTAGCGTGGCCAGTCTGATCGTGTCTCATTTTTCTGATGCTTCGGCTTGCCCTGTCGCGTCATGTTCAGCTGTCTACAGCAGCCTTTGATGGTAAAGATCTTGCTTGTTCTGCATGTTTTGAGAAGCTGGAACCGCAATGCCACCCCGCTATCCGAGTGACGGTTACGGTTTAAGACTGCGGATGAGTCGTGTGCCCGACGCCCGACAAGCTGGAACATGCGCGGAATTGGATTTGCCAGCGCGCTTCAGCCTGCGACCCTTTTCAATGTAGCTGGCGGCGGTTTCGACATGCAGGTTGCCAAAACACTGAAGCATTGTAAATAACGGTGTTTTGCATAGTCGTTTCATAAATGTCGACTTCACGGTAACAACCCCCCCGCCCCCTCCCCTCGATTGTTTTCAGGCCTGGGAAGGGGAGATTAACTATTCAGGGGGGGGGGGGGGGTCCCAGTGCTAACGCTCGCTGACTCTTTGCGAGGGCTCTGGGAGGTCTGACAGACAGGCTTCAAGTGTTCGTTTAGGAACCAGGGTCAGGATTCTATTGTATTATTGCGTTCTTGGGACCGAGTTTTGTAATTGAGTGGGGGTTGATAATTGAGTTCCGGGAATGGACTTTTATAAGTGATGGGGGGGTTTATTGAGATGAGGTTGACATTATCATTGTCGGTTTGTAATGTGTTTTTCTTCGGGTCTTTCTGTTGTTCTATCCTTTTTCCTGAAGTGAATGTCTTTGATTCGAGTCGATCTGTGTGTCTTTATTGTGTGCTTTTGTTCTGTCATTGTTTCTCTGTTTCGTACTCTTCATTTCATCATCGTTGTTCCTTCTGTCGTTCTTTCTTTGTGTCTGGTAGGGATAGTAACGCCAAAAACACTGGTATCCACGCCGTTGCTGCCACATTGATGACGAGGGCGGTGATGCATATTGATGCTCATGACGTGATGCATGATGATATTCATGGTGATGATGGCGATGGTGATGGTGATGATGGTGATGATAATAATAATAATAACGACGCAGTCATCACTTCGACGATGTGGCGAGCATGTTGATGGTAGTCAAGTCAAGTGGATGTCATCAGCCCTCCCGAATTCACATGCCCATGCCAGACTGGCGTCGTGCTCGCCAACCTCGGAGCAGCGTGTTGAGCTCACCAGAATTCTCCGAGCAAGGTGAGGCCTGCATCCACAAGGCATGGCTCGCTGCTGCTTTTTGGCTCAAGAGAGGGTGTGGGCTGTATTGCTGGCAAAAATTCCTGCGGCATTGTTGACACGACTGAAAGTAGCCGATTCGAGTGTATCCTTTCCCCGATAAGCAACCACACTCACCTAAAGCACGCATGGCATCTCATGGTGTCTCCAGCGTTGGACATTGGTACCTTGCAGCCTTCCCGGTCCAAAGCCCTGGCATCCTTGCCTGCACGAAGCTTGGGTCCCTTGAAGAAGTAGTCATCCGAGCTATAGTTTTTTTGCCTCTAGACGGAATCTGCCAGGCGTTTCTGTCAGCTTGGCGCTGCAGCAGATGTTGTCTGGGGAGTCGTTTCGCGATATTTCTGCGTCCCAGGCCGGTGGGCTGCGACCCACGCTACTTGTAGCAGCGGCAGTCATGGGCTGAGGGCGCTTTCGTCAGACAGTTGGATGGGGTTCTTGCGAAAGTCACATCTGTTGTCCGGCATGTGTGACGGGAAAGAAATGCGATCAGGTCGGGGGCCTTACCTGGACAGGATCGGTCCGCTTCCATGCTATGCTACGCTGTACCAACAATGCCAGTGGTCTCTGTGCCTGCTCCTCCGAGCAGTGGAGGGTTTCCACCGTGCTGGAAGGTAAGGTCAGGGTAAGGTTGTGAAGATTGCAAGCGCATTGGCTGCGGCAGGCAAGCCGTGGCTACGAAGCGAAAGCACCGGAAGAGCAAACGGACTCTCGCCGCTGCTGAGGCGACCGGCACGTTCAAGGCAAGTTGGCACAAGGGTACACATGTCCGAGTTCACTGCTCCAGCCAGATTGAAGTGTGTAGCTCATTGGAGACGTTGTGAGACGCGCGTCCGACAGCTGTGCGTAGTGTACTGCCCATGGCATGCTGCTACCCGGCAGAAGTCTGTCCAACGTGCGTCCGAATCTACCAAGCTGAGTATGAGCCACGTCTTGTGGCCAAGGCTTCGCCCGTGCTTTCGAGCAACAGTTGCGCGTGCAAGGGTTTTGAAGAATCTTGTGCCGTGCTCGACTCGACATGCCGCCAGCAAGCCGTGACGATGACAGAGGTGCGACACTCGGCCCTTGAGATGGAAGGCGGTGCATTTTGTGTTGCTGGGCACCGGCCGCACAAAGAAAGATGATGGTGAAACTTGTATGGGGCGATGTGAAGATGCCGTGGAAGAAATGCACAGACAAGACGTGAATGCAGGTTCCAGGCAGACGCCTCGCACCCAACAGGCCTAGGCCTATCTTCTTGCAGCAAATCTATTTGGCCGCGGCCTTTTCACGGCAAAGCTCAACCTGGCCTCCACTGAAAGTCCCACTTTCCAAGTCCGTCTTGAAGCCCGCTTGGTTTAGGTCTAGTTGTTTCTCGTTGAAGTCCTCTGGCCACTCTAGCCGTCAGCTCGCATTTGAGATAATTCAAGCAGGATCTCCTCCAATCGTTGCGCCAACCTTCTGTTTGACTTTGGCTTGGTAGGCTCCAAAGTTCGGAGCTTGGAGACACATTTGGACACGTTATGACACGCTGTCAAGTTACCGGCCGCTACCCTAAGAATGGGGGCAAGCAAAGACAAGGCGAATGTAGACGAGGTTCAGATGCCTAGGGTTGAGGACGAGAGGATGTTCCCACTTGTACCTCAGTTTCTCACGATGGACCCTGTTGCCTATGGCTTTCTGGCCACAACGGCAAATACGAAGCATTTGGAAGGTCTACATCGACATCAGCGCGAACGGCGCGGGCGCCGATGAGCTTGTACCAGTGGTGTATGTTTAGAGCAAGCCAGTGCATGACAAAGTGCGTGACGCGCTCCAGGCAGATTCTCCTCTGCCTCGGGGCCGACGCAGCGCGAGAGTGGGGGCCGAACGCGGGCGCGCAGAGAACAGGACACTTTTGCCGCTGGTGTTTGCTGTTGCCATAGCTTGTCAGCTCCACGTCTTATGAATGAGAAGCCGCGAAACTGAAATATCTGAAACATGGCTGCAGCTCAAGCTTTTGGTAACTGTGTGAAGTTCCGAGTTCGAGATCTTGGCCATGGTGTACTGGCACATGCTCTCGGCCTTTCCGTCCTCTTGAGCTACACAGGGCTGCTGGCCCTCCGGCTAGACGGACAAGATGCAGCAGCCATGCTGGGGCGGGCACTGGCAATGGAGGCCCCGAGACGCCCACTGAGTCCATACAAGAGCCTCGCCGAAGATGACCTGGAGGAGAACAAGAGAAGAAAGATGGAGGACACTCTGAAAGTCCGGAGTGTGGCCAAGGTTTTCTGTGGGGAAGATGTGACTGCGGCAGAGCTTCGGGCACACAAGCCGACTTGCGGAGCTTGCCTTCGGCAGAGCCGCGAGACATGAAGCACGAGTCCTCAGCTGCACGGCCCGCTTTAGCCGGCCCCCTGGATCAGTCTCCGAGAATACATGCCAGGCACAGGTCTCGAAGAGAAGTGCAAGGCTATCAAGATCTACAAGAACTGGCACAGCTACCAAAATCAACACGCCAACGAGAAGACTTGTGAACAGAGTGTGAACGATGTGTTGCTCTCCGCGCGTGAGTATGTTTGGGCCGCCCAGCATCCAGACATCTTCTCGGTCTTTCTGCCAGAGAGGCGGAAGTGTGTGCTGCGGTCCGGGGGCTGGATCCGGACAAGCGGGCGGCCTCCTATGGGCGGGCTGCTGGGAAAAAAGCTCACGGACCACCAAAACATCCATCCCTCCACGAAGCTCAGGCAAGTCACCGCAGACGGCGAGCTCAGCGATTGCAAGGACAATCTGACAGCCGGCTTCGCTGATAACCTCTGGACTATTGCCAGCATGTCTTTTGTACTCGGCATGCGGCATTCGGGTCAGATCAGTGATGTGAGAGGCACAGTGGCTGCACGTGGAGATGTATACCAATTGTTGTGCGAATACTGCCTGCGAGCTTGACCGGCACCTGGCCGCCGAGGTCATCCGGCCCCGGAGGTGAAGAGACAGCATTGTGAAAATGGCCAGAAGCCGCATGAAGGATGCTGCATGCAATCGAAGGAGTTCTGGCACCCGACGTGGGCTTTCACGTAAACTTTGTGGCTGCCCTGACAGCGCTGTAGTGGGAACTCCGAAACAGAAGTGAGCAGTTGGTGCGGCTTCTACTCGACAAGGGCGTGGACCCCAACTTGAAGGACGAACGTGGGTGGACAAGTGGTGGACACTACTGTTTTATGCATTGTCGCGAGGTCATGTGGAGGTCGGGTGCGACTGCTGTCCCATGGGGCTGACCCCAACATTCACAAAGCGCCTGTGGACAGAGCTGCGAAGAATGTCACAGAGCTGATGGCCAATGGTGCCAAGCCGGCGAAAAGTGCCGCTGCCTTCTGCGCAAGCCTGGAAGCAGCCCACCTGAACTCAAATAGTTTGGTTTCTACTGAGCTTGGAAGACTTGTGTGACTTGTGTGACTTACACCGTAGCGCTAGCCCCGAGTCCTCGGGTGGGACTTTCGAGTTGCGAGCGGAAAAAAGTGATGTCGCAAGCCTGGCAACGATCATGTCGAACTGCAGCTCGAAGCCTTCAGGAACAGTGCTCAGCCATTGCCCTGGCTCCTTCGTGGCTCAGTGGTTGCTTGTTTGCTCTAGGAGGGCAGAGTGGCAGAGAGTCCCTGGAAACTGCCGTGAACGGGCGGGCTTGGCTTGCCAGGCAGATCACCTCCTGGGCAGGGTGCGCGAAGTGCAGAACCACAGAGCCATCGTGCAGCTCTACTGGCGATCTCCGCAAGGTTCGGAAACCTTGGAGAGCAAAGCATTCTGTCAAGCTCTCCCAAGATCTCACAAGCACGCCATCTCTGGAAGGATTGAGGGAGCTTTCGCCCGTGCAGGGGTTCATCGATCTGCAGGCAGGCCTCGAATGTCGCACGTTTTTCCGCAAAAGCAGCCAGTTCGATGGGCGGGAGGAGAACGCTCTTTATTGTCAGGCCGGTGTTCCGGAGGCAAGCGGCAATGACGAGGTTGCAATCACAGTGTGCGGACAGCCACGAAAACAATCTGAATGTGAGTTTAGGTCCATCGGGGGTGTGAGATTACTGAATTTTGGTAGTGGCTCACTGAGGGCGCAACCCTTTCGTTCAATTGAGATACGATTCGTTTGACTTGTCGGGTCAGTTGCCTCAAGCCGCTGCCAGCTATCGGGCTGTCCGGCACATCCCCACTCCCCAACACCGCGTCAACAGCCATAGCAGACAGGGTCGGATCGTCATCTTGTGTGCACTGTTTCTGGTGAGTTCTTCGCAGGCAGGTGGATTGCCGAGGCCTGCGCTTTTCTGGCCACTGGATTTTGGCACTGTTGTGTGTGCCAGGCCGCTGAGGGTGGGTCAGGATGTCAGCGTGCGCGTAAGCCCACTTGCAGCATTCCGGCAGCGCTTAAGCCGCTGAGCTCATGGCCCCCACTGCCCCATGTGCATGCAGCATATGAGGCTCATATGGAAGCAGACGAGCTCCGCTTGAAGCTCTCACCAGAGGCAAGATTGCCGCGTCGGGGCTTCAGTGGCTTTCAGGGCAACAGCCTCCCTTGGCAGTGTTGGGTCACTTTCAGCCTAGCCTAGACATCGTTTCTCCGAGGACGGCCATCACTGAGACGGGCGCTTGAAAAGGCGGCCTCGTCCCGAAAGCGTGGAGCATCCGAGTGGCTTCCGAAGAAGGAGCGCCATAGCTCCGTGCTATTCAGCTTAAAGCTGGCCCGATGGGTTCAGTAGCTAGAGCAGCTAGAGTCCCAAGTCAGAACCCAGGTATTGGGGTGCTGCCCAAGCTCTCCCATTTCTTCTGGCTGGACGTGTGGCGGCTGTGTTTGCACTTTATGAACAGACTGGTCGGGTATGAGTAAACTCCAGTGAAGATTTGAAGCATCTTCGACCCTGTCCGAGGGAAGGCACCTTCGAGGAAAGGTGCAAGAGCTGCGCGGCAGAAGTGTCGTTGTGCAGATCTTCTGGGAGATGTCTCCTGTTCCAGGCTTTCCAAGACCCTAAGTTGAGGCTCGCGAACTGCAATCTGGGCAGGTCTTGAAGAGCCCCAACTTGGACCGGTGAAAGGAAAAGTCCGCCTCAAGGCCAGCTGGTTGATGGCAAAACTCGGCTGAAATTTTCCAAAGTTTGAGAAGGATCTTGTGGCTGCGTATGGAATAAGCCGCCACCAGCGACCGCCGCCGAAGTCGCTCGCCCTTCGCATTTCTGGCAACGGTGTAAGCACACAGTCGGAACAGTGTTAACAATTGGCAAGCTAAGGTGTGCTGATTTCCTACATGAGGGTCAGTCGGTTTCTGTCGAAGTCGCCGACATGCCCTCTGCTTCTTGTCAGACAATCAGCCGCCGCCGGCGCGGCAGCAGAGCTTGTCCTATTCGGGGCTCCAGACGCGGTTTTTCCCCAAGCGCTAGTCTCTTGCGTTCACGTTACTTGTAGGGCTTAACCAGCGCAGTGCATGTGCTTCCGAGCAACTATCAGTTTGTGTGCGATTGTTGTTCTGTCGGATGGGCAGGTGCTCGGGTTGCACCCCCTCAAGATAAAAGCAAGCTGGCCCGATGCAAAGTGCTTCAAGCGTATCAGCAACGAAGTATAGTACAAGGATCTGCCTGCAATGGGGGACCTCTGAAGCCACCGATGTTCAGCATGGCATACCTCCACAGGACATACGAAGACGTACAGTGATCCATGAGCAGAACCCATTTTCACGCAAATTAGTGGCACGGGCTGTGCCCCGGCATTCTTCACGGTTGGCTGTTCAGCTCTTCTCCGATTGGAGATCGACACTATGTTTGAGGATTGGAGCAGGCGTCCCTGATCAAAAACCACGTCCCCACCATGAACAGCAATAGTGACAGAGGAACGACGGGATCAGACGAGGAGGGCATGTTTTCAGGTCACCTTCCCGGCGCAGGCCCGCTGATCCGCTCAAAGCTGCCAAGGCAATGAAGCTACTCATGATCGTTGTATGATCTTCTCCAGCCTAGCCATTGTGATGACCTCAACCTCCGTCTGGATTGTGCGGTCCATCCACACGCAAAGCTGAAAGAAGGGAGAGAGGTTTTCTTGAGATATGTGGGGCAGTCACAATGTGGAGAGCCCGGTGGTTGTGTAACACACCCAATACATGCACACAACTGGCGCAGAACCTGCGACAACAACTGGCAAAGTTCCGCCCCTCAGGGTGGTGCGTCCGTGAGCGGAGTCCGTTGGCGATAATGGACACTCAACGCTCCACCAAACGGGTTCAAGCAGCTGTCCTGTCAGGTATTAGACAGCGTGTTGGCTGGTGGAATCCGTAGAGCTGCTTTTGGTTTGCTTAAAGCAATTAAGAGACTTAAATTAATGCCAAGCCTTTTCCTGAATCATGTATAGGCAATTTCCGTCCGAGGACCAGTCTCTCAACTTCGTGCTTTCGACGCACCAGCCAGTGCTGCCATCCTCCGTGCCAACACCCCCAGGTGGGCGGCTTTGCACGCAAAGCTGTTGCCGTTCTATCTGATGTTCAATGCCATGACCAGGGCGTGTGCCGCCGGAGTGGCGGGACTTTCTTGATACGCACGGGCTGGTGGTGGAGTTCGCCAACCTCAGACTCCCGCCGGTTACCTGTCAGGCTCTTCGGGTTCCTAGCTTGCGTGCCCGTCTGGTACCAACTTGCCGCATGAAGGCCAGGACTCCGGCATGGAAGGGCTTGTGGATTTTGGATTTTCTTTAAACGCAGCTTAAACTGTCCTGAAACATCCTTAAGCCACATCGGGGACTTCCGAGCGAAATGCGCACTGCTTAGCTTGCTCTCCCATTAACACACAGCGATTTGGTCTCAACCGTTCAGCTTCAGTCAGCTTCAGGGTACTCTTCAAAGAAATTAGTTGAACGTTCCGGAACAGCTGTTGGCCGTGACGAACAGATAGCACCAAAAGGAACAAGTATAAAGCCGACATACTGCTCCGTTCTTGCAGATTATACACGCTGAGGCTGAAGCGCTGGAAGTCTTTCAGCGCGAGCCGCATGACTGGTTTGACCCCATCTGAAAGCAGTTTCCGGCTGTTCTGTATGGAACCTTCTCAGGTCGGGGGGCATGAGGACCTTGGCAACTGAAACGCTTGCAGCCACGATTTGGGAGCTGAAGCTCGGCGGCGAGTAGTTTCTGTTTTTCTCATTCGTGCCCAGGCCAGGTTCTTGCGAGTTAAGGACGCAGAGAGGGCAAGACGTCGTGGTGACTGGTGCAATGCCAGCAGCAACTCATCAGCAAGAACCGCATGCAGACGGCAGACCTTCATGTCACACGCCAGCTCTTCTTGGAGTTAGACAGTTAGACACTATGTACAATGTGCAGGCAGAGCGGCTCTTCCTCCAGACCCGGCTGGCTCTTCGGCACGTAGCAGCTCTACCAAGAACACCGCCTGGGCTTCCGGACGTGTTGTTCCTCTGCAGCGGAAGCATTGCTCGCAGGCCTTCGGGACAGGGTAGGGCTTATGAGGGCTTCGTGAGGTTGGCTTGATCGCCACGCAGCCGGGCATCCCTCTTGATGCTCAGTTGATGCTGCCTGGGCGGCCGAGCGCCACCGTCTCTGAACCCCAATCAAACTCACTTCAACTTCCACCATATCACTGCTCCCCACGCCACGGAGCTCTCCGTCGCTTGGTCGGAGGAACCACCACAAGACTTCAACTTGCAGGCTTGAAAGATGCATTCGCGACCCGGAGTCGAGCAAAAGCAATGTAGATTCACCGAAAACCCTGACAATTGTTTAGGAGCGTTTGGTCTGATTCAGCATCCCTTCGAGGTTGCAGCTCTTCTTCCTTTAGCATGGGGAACGGTGTAACGGCGGGTAAGGTGATCCGAGCCCTATCACCTCCAATGGGACCGCTGATACCGCTGATGGAAATAACTTCCGATACAGGTTCTAGGGCTCTCGCTGCATCCACGCGTGAGCGCCGCGGAAGCACCCCGAATGAGTTGACGCCGTCGCACGTCAGAGGTTTGTGCTCGAACACAATGCGCTACGACCTGCATCCATGTCATACCATCGGCGGCAATCTTCCGAAACATTTTGGTCAACAGACCAGAACCCTTTCAGCAGCAAAATGAAGTTCAAGCAACGTCCAACGATATTCTCGTGCATCATTCCTACTCATGCAAAGTGCTGAATTGCTTGACGCTTTTGGACCTGCTTTGGGAACGACGTCAGAGGTTTGGTGCTTGCAGTGCAGGTTCAGAAAGATATGTGCAGATGGGTCGCACGACGAGGGTCAGATTCATCAGACCCTCGGCTCATCGCTACAAAGCTCCAGCGAAGTATCCCACTGAATTTCAGGGGCTGGCGTAGGTGAGAGGCAAAGCCAGTGGTTCCTTGGTGTTACCCTTCTGCAAAAGCTACTGGTTTCTGCGTGGTTGCCTGGAGTTTCCAAAGGAATCCGCAAAAGGGTTATGGAGTCGTGACAGAGTCCAGCAGCAGCATAAGCCCAGGCAGGTGTTTTTGGAGCTTTCGGTACGTGAGACGACGGTCTTATGTCATGGCGCACGCAAGGTAGATCCGGCCGTGCACTTGCTCTTGTTTGGAAGACTCGTCGCATTTTCGCAAGACGCTGAGCAATGGCTTTCAAGGACGCTTGCCGGCACCACCCATTGGGTTCTTGAACGTGCCAGGCCTCCCAGATGCAGATGGCATGCGGATCTCTATCAAGCTCTGTCTTTGCCAAATGCGGTATAGCGGTGTCGCTTAGGAACAATCCTGAGCTGCTTTCCCGAATCTCCTTGTTCATTGTGGACGGAATGTGGCCTGACGTCTTCCATTGCAGAGATTCGAGCTCTTACCTCACTCAAGGATCACAAGCTTTCGGAGCATTCGCTGAGGTGCGCTATGCAAGAACTCCTCGAGCTGCTCAACTTCCTGCCAAGCGGCAGACGCCAAGCATGATCATAAATGTCCACAGAACTTTGATTAGCAAGCACTTGGGGAGACACTGCACCGAGACCGAGACAAAGAGAAACAGAGAGGGAGCGAGAGAGAGAGAGAGAGAGAGATGTGGGCCCTGGCGAAAGAGAGAAGATGTGGGCATTTCCTATTCTGAGTAAGAGGTATTCTTCAGTGACGTCAATCAAAGTGCCAGCCCTTCCAGACTGCTTACATTCCCACACAAACAATATGAACCGTCTGAAGCCGTTCACACCGCCAACACCTCTCGTACCTCCATACAGGGGCTCGCCCCTACACCCCTGGAAGAAAGAGATGTGGGAGCGCGCTAGCTTGGTGGGTGAAACGAAAAACAAACAAAAAGAGAACGAGAGAGAGAGAGAGAGAGAGAGCGAGCGAGATGCATGTTGCTCGCTGGTTCGTGGCTTGGTGCAACATGCTGCTCGTGTTGGAACGCGGCAGCTGATGCTTGTGATGCCGCATGGCTCGGGGCCTGTGCTGGAGTGTGCGGTAGCTGATGATGAAGACCTGTGGCAGCTGATATTCATGATGCTCTCTGGTTTGTGGCTAGTGGTGGAACGATTGCCAGCTGATGCTCATGATGCTCGCCGGTTCGCAGCCTGTCGTGGCACGCTTGGCGGTTGAAGGTCGCAATGATCGCTGACGTGATGCTTACGAGGGAATGGCACAGCTGACGCTGATTTGGTGCTTCTTGCGGCGGGTTTGTGGTGGACATTGATTGATGAAAAGATGCTGGCGGTTTCAGGCAAGTGGTGGAAGCAGCTGATGCTCATGATTGGTTCTCGTGCTGAAACGTGCGGTAGCTGATGATGAAGTGAAGACCTGCAGCAGCTGCTTATGCTGCTCGCTCGCCCGGGGGCTGATGGAAGGTGCGGCAGATGCCGGCTGGTTTCGGGCTTGTAGTGGAAAGCACAGCAAAAGATACTTATGATGCTCGCTGCGCTGGTTTCGGGGTGCAACATGCGGCAGCTGATGCTGATGATGCTCGCTGGTTTGTGGCTAGTGGTGGAGCGTTGCGCAGCTGATGCTCATGATGCTCGCTGCCTTGGGGCTTCTGCTGGAACGCGCGGCAGCTGATGCTAGTGATGCTCTGTGGTTTGGGGTTTCTGGGAACACACGACAACTGCTACTCGTAATGTTGGGGGTTTCGGCGGAACGTGTGGCCGCTGATGCTGACTGGTTCCCGTGCCTGCAGCTGGAGCCTGTGATAGAAGTGATGGCGAAGACATGTGCAGCTGATGCTCATGATGCTCGCTGGTTTGTGGCTAGTGGTGGAATGTTGCGCAGCTGATGCTCATGATGCTCGCTGCCTTTGGGCTTGTGCTGGAACGTGCGGCAGCTGATGACTCATGATGCTCGCTGATTTGGCGCTTGTGGCGGAATGTGCGGCAGCTGATGAGCGTGATGGTTGCTGCTTTAGTGGGGGCCTGTGCTGGAACGCAGTTGATGACGCTGTTTTGGGGCTCATGCTGGAGCGTGCGGCAGCTGATGCGGATGATGCTCTACCCTCCTGGGGAACTCCCACGAGGGTTGTCTTTGCGGTGCATTTGTTAGGTAACCCCGAAGCAGACTAGGTACGTGAGAGAACTAATGTGCACTGTTCACACCCATGAGGCCAGGGGATTTCGCACGCCCCCTGTGCCCTGGGGAAGGAGAGAGAGAGAGAGAGAGAGAGAGGCAACTCCCCACCACAGCCCTGGGGAAAGAAAAGAGAGAGAGATACCGGACAGGGAGGCATGCACCCAAACATGTCCCACGACGACTCCTACCTGAACACCACCACTTGCCGTTACAGGTGTCATCCGGGGACCTACCCCGCAACAAGCTGGTGCCGCCCCAGCTTTACCAAAACCATCCAAAACCGAGCCCACACTGGGCGGCCAAGAGGTTTAGGGTTTAGGGGGAAACCCAATAACCCTTTGTGGGGTGTACCATGGACGGGCCGCTGGAGCCATGCAATACCTTGCTTATGCCTCCGCCCTGAGGCACCTTTTCCATAACACGAACAGTGCCGTGCTTTAACCATAATTCGGCCAGCCGCAGATCACTTTTGCCACCACCCTTACAAGGCCTACTGACCTGACAGTTTATCGTGTTGGATTTTCTTCTTTGTTGTGTCTGCTTGCATCGGCAGGCTTAGTTGCCTTGGTGGTGCTGTTTTGTCTCTCCTTGCGTCTTTGTAGTCAGGCGCCTAATTTAGGTATCCAAACCGGTGGATTCGAGGAATTCGACACTTTCTCCTCATGCGCATAATCCCGTACAGGAAACAAGAGAGAGCCTTCTGGGACATTGCGCCCAGGACGATGGGGACCGAGCTACCTTTTCCATCGGGAGACCTTGCCTGCCAAGAACACTGCGGCAGAGACTGCCTTGGTCGATGCCCCCGCCCGATTGCATCTTGCCTCCAGTAGCCTGCGACGTCCTGTGGCGTATGAGGGCCTCAGCTGTGTTGATGAAGAACTGCATCAGGCAGCTGGCAAATGGCGTGAGGGGGGCAATGCTCTCGGTAGTAATGCTGTTGGCACGCAGCAATGCATCGAGCCTCAACCAGGCCCACATCTCCATGCGGATGGTCAATGCGGACGATGCCAAAGAAGCTGCTGCATTGATTGCGCAGTTGCACACCAGGCTCGCAGCAATCGACACAAGGTGATACTATGAATCCACGACTGTGCACACGGTTGTCACTGATTTGTGTCTTATGGCAAAGGTTTGAGGAGCGCCTGTCTGTAGTAGTTAGAAGTCTTTATATCCTCTCAGGCAAAGCATCCTGGTGTTCACGAGCGAGATATCGGCTCTTCAAGACGAGTTGCGCAGAGTCGTGGCGGTGCAAGCGCTTGCATCCGAGAGGTGCAAAACTGCAGACGGCATCTGTCAACACGAAAAGGAGGAATCAATGCTTGCTAGCGAGGCTCTGCATTGTGCACAGCACCGAGCGGTGGCGGGCGTCCGCCAGTCCGCAGCTTACACAGTTTGCCAGGGAGCCGTGGTGCGAAGATGCAGGTGCCAAGCCTCACAAGACTATTTCTACGCTCCCAGGCTTCGACATCCTGTTGCATGTGTCTCCTCCTCCGACCACTGCTGAATATCTGCGACGCTCAGAGCTGAGACGCTTCAGATTTTCTTCTAGGGTTTTCCGAAGCCATGCCTGCAGATTCTGCAGGCTTGGCCTCTTGCAAGAAGGAGGCTATTTCGCTGGTCGCGGCGAGTTTGGATGACCCACCGACGCTACTCGCTTGCGCGATCGAAGCAGGTATTTGCGTTCCGCAAGTCCATAAGATCTCGGTTTTGGGAAGCTCCCGCGTAGATTGATAAACCGATTCCAGTTCACGGGTGCTTAGCCGCCCATGCCTCTTGTGTTTAAGGTGGAGCCACGTCTGGGCCAAGCATGTGTCGGATTTTGCCACAGGCCTTGTGGAACCTCTTGTGATGCTTGTGTTGGTTCGACCAGGAATCATTTAATTTAGACTCTGCTTGAAGAGAGCAGAAATCAGTAGCAGCTTTAACGTCGGCGAGCCTAGATCGCTCGAGTACATGTAAACTTCTGTGCCAGGTTTGCAGATGGCCAAGCTCCGGGAAGACCTTGCTGAGCTCTCCGGGTTGGGGCGAGGGCAAAGCCGAGTTTGGGCAATGTTTTTGGTTCACCGCAAAGGGTCCCTGCTTTGGTGCTTGGCTCCCTGCCTCGCACGCTCCAAAGCGCGCAGGCCCCCAGACAACAACGAGACGGAGCGCGAGGCACCGCGAGTGGCCGAAGTCGAGCTGCAGCTTCGATCGCAACAAGCCATGTCGTGGCATGTGTCTGTCGTAGCGATGCTTTGACGCGGGAGAGACTCGGAAAAGGCATTGCAATCAGGGAGTGCAAGTACATGACCCCGAGTTTCGAGACAATGTAGTGCTGTCCGGTGCTTCGAGGTCCAACTCCTTCCAAAAGGCCACGTACTCGTGTCTGCTCCTGCAAGCAGTGCTTGGGCAAGTCTCTCGTTCAGGATTACATGGTCCAAGGAGATGAGGAGTTGCTTGGATTGATTGGTCAAGACGAGACTGCAATACACTGGCCGCCCGTGGCACATGCCACCTAGGTTGGTTTGGCGAGCAGGGGAAGCGACCGACCTCGACGAAGTTTTCGAGAATGGTTTGTAAAATCAAGAGCGCCTTGAACAGTTTGAGCTGGATGTGCCAGCTACAGAGCGAGCTACTGCAGTCTTGAATGAAGGTTGGCTGCGACATGTTGTTAGTCACTCGCCGACACCATGATACCATGACCATGACTTAGAGATGCGCGAGTGGGCCCCTTGTGTCGCTGAATCGACAGAACTGAATCTTCCTCTGCTGAGCTCACCATCCGAGATTTACTGTTTGCGAAACTTCTTGAGCTCCGAGGCTCCGCAACGACTCCAGCACTCTCCGCCACAGGGGAGGCAGGGATGACCTTGCAGGGCCGCGCGAAAGGCTTCCAGCGCCGCAGCTGACTGCAGCCGTTTGAGCTTTCGGCGGAACACCGCACTAGAAGTGTGCCACTCGTTGTGGTGGTTGTACCTACTATGGTGGAACAAGTGATTGTCAGTTCACCATCCAACACGTGTCACGAGCCACAGCAGCCTTCACGCAGATACGAAGGTAAGCACAGCAAAAAAACGACACAAGCATCATGGGGCAGACTTCCGTTTCGATCGGCCAGGCCTGCCCGCCCAGACAGCTTCTCAACACCCAGCAGCAGCGATAAGATGGTTATGTTGCATGTCCCTTTCGCACACGATGGTTTGGTATCTGTGCATTTAAAAATGCTGGTCATTGGTTCCTGTCCTTCATTGGCGTGGTCATACTTAAGCTGCGAGGCAGTTCCGGCTTTGAGGCAGTGGTGGTCGTTGGCAGAGCTGTCCCCGCCGGTGACTGGTCTGATCCTCGACACGACCAGCTCCAGCTTCACCAGTTATATCGGCAACAGCGCACTGCACTGACACAGGCTATGCCGCACAGCATGCATGGAGAGCGGGAGAGGCAAGGCCTGCCTACGAATGTCTTGACACTTCGAGATTGCATAATCAGCTTGGCGCTTGCGATCGTCATTCTGCATCATGTATCGGCCCATAAGTGAACGTGCGAGAATCCAAGGCGCGTAGCTCTAACCCAGCCTGCCCAGTATCAGTAAGCGAAGAAGCGCCGCTCCACTGCCTGAAACAACAGCATCAGCATCAGCAGCACAAGCAGAAACCCCCCCATTGATCAGCATTTTCACCTGGCAACCGCATGGAGTCAATATCGTCATGGAGCCGCGCCGTGGACGCTGGAACAAAACGGGCGTGTCTCTTCCAGCAGTCGGCACAGACGATGCGACCGCAGCGCCGTCTGCCGGATCGATTAAGGGCAGCAGCAATCTGGCATGGCGTATCTAGGTCCTAGGTCCCAGGTCTTGTTCCAGATAGTTGTTTCACTACAAGGCCGTGCAGTGCAGCAAAGGACTGGCCAGGTAGACCTCCCCGTGCCAGAGGATGACAGTGACGATGAAGGCCCGGTGGTTGAACAGCATGCGCGGACTCGAAGTCGGCGCCGTCGAGGTTCTTGCAGTGTGGCTCCCGTCTTCAAATTTGTAGGTCACAGATCGTGCAAGAGCTCCTTCGTTAGCAAACTGAGTTGCACCCTTCTTTGACATGGCGAATTGGCCATGAGAGTTCCCAACGTGGGCAGATCTGCGCTTGTGCCCAATGGGCATCTCAAGCTGAAACCTTTCCCTGACCGTCGATGGCACGAAAGGTCAATTTAGAATGGCCCACCTAGCAGAGCAGCTAAGCGGTTGCATTTGACATGATGAAATCCAGGATTCTGGGGCGAGCTGCCTCCTGCGAGAGCACCTCCGGCCGAGACAGCAGAGCGCGAGCGGCCCGAGAGTGCTGTGCCCGTGCAAGTGGAGCCGCTTTTTCATCGGCCGGTCGAGCCGCACGAACCGCGGCATCGCAGTCGGCTTTCTCAAAAGCAGAGGCGAGGAAGCAGGGCAGCGGAGGGGGGGGAGGGGGTGCCTTGTATTTCAGCTGGCTGTCAGGAAGCAACAGTCTTGGGAGAACCAAGCCTCCTGGTCAGCCCCGCCGGAGCCAGCGCAAGAACGGCCTTCTTCTGTTCCCCAGTTCGACAAGACCGTCCTTTCCCAAACAACCGACGCTACCAAGCTGCAGAGATCTGCGCAGACCCGATCAATTCGAATCACAGACGGCGAAGCTGAGGGATACGCCGCGAGAGATCTTCCCAGTCTCAGGAGCTGAGCTGGAGTAAGTACATCTCAGCAGTCTGTGATACTATGTAGACATTAACTTTAGCTGTTGCAGAAGCTCCGTTTCGCCCGACGGACTCTTTAGCTAGCGATTGCCACCACGCATCCGTTCGTGAGGAGCGGGCCAGAAGAGCAAAGAGACAGGACATGTCAGGTCGATCACGACGTTGAGCTAGATCCAGGCGTGCGGCTTCATCAGATTTTACACATGTCCAAGTTGTTTCGTGCAGCGATGCAAACAAACATAGTGCAAGTGTTTCGGACATGCCTAGCTGCCTAACTGGGTTCGGTGCTGTCGAACGAGCCCCTGCCGAAAGGTGCCGAGGATGAGCGATCTGTCTTGGAAGCGATCTACGGCAACGAGTTCGAAATTCTCGGCCCGAACGAGTGGAGGACACACTCGAATAAGAGCCCCTGTTGCGTTTCTTGGTGCTGCCTCCATACAATTTGTGGCGCTCGCAAGTACAGGGGACGTGGATTCGGAGGAGTGGACTCAGAGGAAGCTCTTTGGACTCTGCATGTTTTCATCAGTTTGGGTACGCGTGCGACAGGATTGTTTTGCCCGGTGCTGCCGGTGCTCCTTCGGCAGCCGTTCGTTTCTTGCTCCCAGCAACGTGTTCGCATTTCGTGGCTGCTTTGCCCAGACTTTCCTCTGAAATTAGACATCTTGCGGTTAGACGCAGGCTGGCTATCCTCGCTCGGGCGAGCCACCCGTGCCGCTGTTCGATTGCGAAGGTGCCTGCTGCCAGCTCCCCACTTTGAGGGTCTGCCAAGCCCGTCTCGAGGAGCTTCGCAGGGTCTGCGACATGCTGCGACAGAAGCCGTCGCAGAGTTGGTTGAGAACTGGCAGCCGCCAGAAGAAGGCGAAGGCTGCATCTACCAGAGTCTCGGCTCAATGCTTGAAGCCACGGCTGGTCCGCAATGAAGCTGTGTGGTTGCAGAGGCAAACGGCTAATGCCGCTAGTACAGTCTGCGGCCTTATGGCACTGACAGGTGGGTGGAGCGCCTGCGCGAGTGTTTGGAGCCAGCGCTGGCAGCTGAAGTTCTGCAAAGGGACGAGCAGCTCGAAGGATATGGAGCCCGCTTCAAAGTCAGCAACGTGAGTGTGCTTTGTTAACTCCGCCGGAAGATTCCTGCAAAAGTCAGGCGATGTGATTTCGTGACCCGTGTGTTTGCCAGTCCTGACGGTCGAACTGGTTTATGAAATCGATGACAACCATGTACCACCCTGTAATCGCAATCTCGAGCAACAGCCACGGTGCCGCTTACTGCTAATAAGCCTCAACTGTCTTCCAGTTCCAATTCATTTGAGGAGTCGTGGCCCGGCTCCAGGGAAACAAGTAGTGTAGAATCGTGCTAACGCTTGGAGTATGCCAGAAGCGTTCAGGCACATCCTGGCATGATTGAGGTTGGACGCGGCTTTTGCTCAGTCCCTCGCTGTGGCAGAGGAAGCGGCAGCAGCACAGGCGAATGGAGCACTTAAATCCACGGACATCAATCATCTTGTGCACAGGCCGCATGCCTGATTGAGGCTGCCACTTCCAAATCTTTTACATTTCTTCCGGCGAATCCACAGTATGGACAGCATGTGTAGGGAGGTTCCATTTTTGCATGTGCATCGCTAGGGAGTCCTCGGTTAGTGGCATCATGCTTCCAGGACAGAGGCGCCGTGTTTTTGATGCGGCCAGCTTTGATGACGCGAACGCGGTGGAAATTCTTCGTGGTGAATCCTTCGTGGAGACTTGATGCAGTTGTCTTGACAGCCATAGGTCATGGCACAGGAGACTTACCCGATCAGGACAGAAAGTCTACCTTTCAAGGCTTCGCAGCCAAAGTCTCGAACCAGGGCCAAGTGAACTGGGTGCCTTGGCTCTGCGAATGTGGCATCCATTTCTCCGCTGCATACAAGCGGTCTCCAACTTAGAGGAACGAGGAGGGCTTTTTGCTAGCCTTGACCGAGGTGCTGCGCACGCTCCTGGAGGATCGCAAAATCGCCGTCGCCACGCACAACATGTTCGCCTACAGGCCGGGCTGTATACCTTCACCGCACCTGACAGAACCGCAAGCCTGCACCTGCGCAAGGTTCCGCGATGATGACCGCAACATCCAAGTCGCGGACAATGAGGATGACGGAGAGGACGGCAGATCACCACCGTTAACCCCATCATTTGGTCCTGGTGCGCGACCCGACATGACCCGATCCTACTGAAGACAGGATGGCGCCGGCTCAAAGCTAGCGGAGCTCCTGAATCTCGCAGGATGTGAGGCTGGGCCTGGCTAGGCCTGGTTGCCTTGCCTCATTTCGCCTTGGAACAGGATGTCTTCGTGATGGTTAGCCGGTGGTACGGAGGCATTCATTTGGGTTTGGCCCCCATGATTCGCCTGCCTTGCGGCCTTGCTATGTGGTCCGCGTTGCACTGAGGCCCAGACCGATTTAAGCACATCGCCCGTGCAGCTTCAGTTCTGTTGGACGAAGCTGGCTGGAGCAGCAGAGGCAGGGAAGACGACGCCACAAGGCCACGACGAACAGCTGTAAAATTCTGACGCCTGGAGGTCGCGGCGCCAGTAGCACAGCACAGCGCAGGAGGAAGTGAAAAAGCGCAACAAATACTTGCCGCATAGCTCTTTACTTGAGACACTTTTTGAGACGTGGCTCTTGGGTTTACTGGCTCCCGCCAGGCCATCAGCGTTGGGCTTTGCATTGCCCTCAGTGCTGCTGTGCAGCGTCATGTGCCGCCGTGATTGGCGTCAAGCGGCGACTCATCGTTCACGAACAGCAGCGATTGAAAGTTGCCGGCATGTCTCGTAGACTCGTAGACGTGCGATGTGGCCTGGCTCAAAGCTCTAGCTGGGTGCCAGCCCGGCAGCCCTTAGTGGGTAGATCCGCGCACGAGGTTGGAGGACATCGGTCTTCTCAGAACCCGAGCTTGCAGACTTCCTTGAGCTACTGGTAGCTGTATTGCATGTTTGCACAGCCGGCGACCCAACAGGACCGTTGTGTTAACGATGGTCGAGGCTGAGGCCTGTCGGTGCCTTCACCAGTCCTCATACTTGAAAGGTCCCGGAAGCATCGTTTTTCTACTACCGCACTTGGGATGCAGGACAAGTTCGCCGCGCTGAGAACCAAGATTTTCACCGAGTCCATCGAGAGCTCCAACGAGCCCAGGCATGGATGCATCTGCGACACTCTGCGACAGCGTTTTTGCGACCCAGTTGTGCCTCCGCAGGTGGGGATACTTCGGCATACCTGGCCCGTTGGCCATCGGAGACAACTCGTACGCACCAAGGCCATCAAGCTTCCGAGGGCTGATCGCAAGATGCACTTACAGTTGATTGCGGCGCAAGGCTGGTAAAGAAGGTGGTGTCAGAAGATGAGGAGGAAGTCACCAGGAACATTCAAACCGGGCCGACAAAGAGCCTCGGCTATGCGGAGCCTTGCTTGTGCCACATGTGCCTTGTTGAGGATGCAATTCACATGCCGAGTTTCATTCGTAGGAAGGGAACGACCCCAGACGTTTACTTCCAGTTCGAAACACCACTGGGACTTGGCGATCCGAGCTTTGGATGCAGCGAAGTGGATCCGATCAGACTTAGTATCCACCATGCCGTATGCGCGCGGCATCTTGAGCGACGATGTGTAGCCGCCCCAGAGTCATGCGCAAGCTTGGGACAGCGTGCAGCAAGGTATACTGATCCTGGGTCTGCGATGAAGAAGGGGAAAGGATGGATGTTAGATCCGGATGCCGCCTTCAAGCCTCCGGGAACAGTGAAGACAGGCACCTGGGCAGGGGGAGACGGAGGAGTTTGGAGGACAACGCTCTGCAGCTACGATAGCTTACGGTTCATGTTGACTCGACTTGTGCAAGGCATCAACAAGCTCGGTTACGAGTATGCCTTGTGCTCAGTCCGTGTTGCGTTCAAACCCCTATCATACGATGGGGATGCCGCGGTCAGATTGTGGAATCCGACTTAGGTCGATCACTGTGATCAAGTCAAGGACCCGAAGGCAGTTAAGGAGAAGCAGCCCGGCACAGCGCTAATCTGCGGACAGATTACAGAAGTTCTGCTCATGCGTACGGCCCAATTTTCTGTGGCATTTCCAACTTCACTGACCCCAACACGCAACAGGTTTGGAAGCGCAGGCCGTGCACAAACGTAAAGCTTGCTTCTGAAAAAGTCGTGCACCACCAGATACGGTGGAAGGCCACCCGAAGGTGTGCTTTGCATGACGATTTTGAAACGACTCGACAATCGATTGGCCTCAGAATTTTAATTGTGGTGCATCGAGGCAATCCATTTTGTAACGGCATTCAGAACCGTGTCTCTGCATGAGGTATGCAGAATGGACTCCTCCTCGCAACATCTTCGGCGGAAATTCCAAGAGAGGCTCCACAAAAGCCACGAAGAGTTCACTCAGAATCCAGCGCTGTGTTCAGGTGGGCCCGGAGTCCTGACTGGAGGGGTGCTCTTTGGCTTCGGGGACCGCTGCCAGCAGCTGCTACGGTCTGCTGTGCGTGACAGCATCTGTGGACAGGTCACTGAAACAGCTGCGCACAGATACCCCACGCCTGGCCGGCACAGGAGCCGGGCGCTTTTCCGGAACATGTTCCAGACGACTACGACTCTGCGAGGTGACGAAGCCACCATTTGGGCAGTGCACTAGCTCCACACCAAGTAGTGGGTCCAGAGTCCCGGAATAGGAGTATCACACCGTTTCATCACAAGGATTGCTATGGCCTCGCGTCATTAGCTCTGAGCTGATCAGGAAGCAGCGCAAGAAGGAGCTGGAGGAACACCATAGCAAAGGGCTTAGGGCAGTGCCATTTTTTCCCCTGGTGCTTTCCCTGTGTGCAAGTGCTGTGGCTTTCCATTGCGTGCTGCTCCAGTAAACAAGCATAAATCCTGTGAGGCAAGGTCCAGGAGCAGCCTTTCAAGGGCATCGACTACGGCAATCGGTTCTTCCAGAGCAATGAGGATGCATTTGGAGGACTTTCTCAGCTCTGCTCTCCACCTCCTTATCTTTAATATTAAACTCACATTGCGAACCGAGCTGTGTTGTAGGCAGCTGTAGGTCGTGCCTTCGTCCTCAGTGCTGGGGTGTAAGCTGTTGATATCCGCTCGATGTTGTCGCCTTCAGACACGCCGTGACGTGCATCGCTGGAGTCTCCGAGTGCGAGTGCCGAAACTGTTTGGATCAGAGGGCTGCGCGAAAGGCAGAAAACGCTCGGCATTGGTGAGGTCCTGACCATGCAGAGCAGAGGGTTAGTGAGCGCCCTGTGCTCCGATTGAGGAACACGAATTCGGCAGAACAGTTTCGGAAACACCGGCTGCCAAGCGCCGAGAATCGATTCAGACAACAACGCCGAATCATGCTCCTGCTGCTGCTTTGCTTCTGCTGCTGCTGCGGCTGCTACTACTTTTTTCGCTGGTGTGGCCGCTTCTCCTGCTGCACAGCCCTGCAGAGCCCTGCAGAGCCGTGCAATAGTAAACAGGATCTATGGGTTTGCCAACCAACATCTACTTTCAGGGTTTGAGGCTTAGTGGGCAATATACTAATTGGGGGTTTTGGGGTAGAGTTAGTTAGGCAACCAATATCTTATTCTTTTGTCGCGTGGGGCTTGCCAACCAGGATCTCCGTTTGGGCATTGGGTTCGTGGTTTGCCAACTAGCGCTAACCGACATCTCCGTTTTATCTGTTTGGTTTTTCCAACTAGCAATTTATCTTTTTTGTGGTTCCAGGTTTTGCCACCCAACAGCCATGGTTTGCAACATGACACTTTCATCGAAGAGATAAGGTACTATTTTGTTTCAATTTTCCGGGAGCTTGGCTGCCCGATTGCTGCTCATGAGCAAGAACTGCACAACTAAAGCTTTCCGACCAACGCATGGCAAGCTGTTCCCAGCACGTTGAGTTGTGCCAAGCTTAACTTAAGGTGTTCATGCGTAGGTTCATCCTCAATGGGCCTATTGTAGTTTTGCATGTTTGACATCCGTTTTTGGCAAGGGACCACCAGGTGCCGCCACTAAAAGTCGACTGCAATATCCCGCTGAAAAACTTTCCGAAATGAGCCAATGAGCCCTGTGCCTTGGTCCGCCCAGCATCGCCCAACCTGTCCTTGCTCGTGACCGAACGGTGCAGGATACGAGCATCCCACCCATGTCCCGCGCGATCCTCCGCCTGACAAAGCTGTGCCTTGGAGATGCTCAAGACATGCCTTTTTGAGCAGGGGCTGATGCTTCAACTGTGGCGAATGCAGAGTGAACTCACCGGAGTGGATCATGTCGGATCGGCGTCATTGTCGAATGTCCACGTGGGGAAGTGTGCGGAAGTGTGGCCAAAGGCGAAATACCCCCATGAGTCGCCCTTCCGGCCGACCAACCCGATGAAGAGAGATGCCGTGGGCTGCCTCATGGGTGGAATTCCAGAGTAACTTGGTCACGAGGAGCTTGCATTCCTGTACCGCTCTTGAAACTCCGGCTGCAAACGTTCTGCACTCAGGTATATCCCCTGTCCAGAAGACCCTCTCAAACGTAAGCCAAAGGCCGGCGGTCTGAAGCAGACTTGTTCAGCCGCGTTGCGCTTTGGCGGACGATTGTCAGGACGAGGATGCACCGCCGGCTGCTTGCCAGCACCGGTTCAGCCATGTTCAGCAGCTGTTCTTTGCTGAAGCCTGAAGCGGTGGACCGAGGCGTTTAAAGTGGGCGCTCCACGGCATGTGGTGAAGCCGACGCCATCTGCCCCTCGATTTCACTTCGAGAGGATTGAAAACCCGTGATGTGCTCGCACGGACTTCTCTCTGAGTGCAAGGTCACCACACTCACTCGCAACATGCGAAACGAACGCCCGTCAAGCTTCATGCGACCGACACTGATCTGAATCTTCGCTGGCGCCACTCTTGATATGGTAACTGCTGGCAGTGTTGAGCCTGTGACACTTCGTGCTAAGGATCTTGTGACGGCCCGAGCTCTGGCCGTCTCGTTTCACAGCAACGAGAGCACCGTGCCTCAAACAAAAAAAACTGTACGTGCTACCAGGTGAAAACTGGCGCCTGGCTTGCCTCGCCAGAAGGGCGAAGCGATGCGAAATGTTTCACTCCAGTCGTGCTGTGCATGGGACGGCAGGATTCAAAGATTCAGATACCTGCATGTATAATTACAGGCATGTGACCATATGTTCCATGCTGAGGGCAATCCCAGATGCCGCCGTGCCAGCCTTCTTGCGATTTGCATGTCGCAATGGACCAAAACAGAGCTAACGGGCAGACTCATTGCTGATGACAGTCGGAACTGAAGCATCGCTGACTTTTGGGCCGAGGCTGTGGAATGCTGGGCTGAGCTGAAACAACAAATGTTGGAAAACTGCGGTGTTGGAAAATCGCGTGCCATCTGATCATGGTGCACGACTCATCCTGCGGTTGCCGATGTCGACCCGGATTTCAACAGTGCTCGGATGCCGCAGGCACTGCAGCTCACTAGCCCAGGCCACTGCTTTGCCAAGTGATTTGTGATAGCAGATGCGACTAGTTTGTCAGCTGGCAGCATGCCTGCTCGTCTTCGTGTTCTCTGCGACTGGCGCCGTCACGTTTTGACCAAGGTCTCACTCCCAGATGGCAGAAGTTGCAACACAGCCGATGGCCAACAGTAGAGCAGTCACTCACAGCCAGCGCATGACCTCTGACTCGATGCAAGGCATAAGCCTGCACCACTACCTTGTTGCAACGCTTTCTAGCCGTGCACCTGCACCCAACCGTACCTAAATACTGTGCCGCCTTTTTTGAGGAGACTCTAGCAAATAGTTCTCATTCGGAAGTGTGTTCAAACTCGATGGCTCTGCGTGTGCTGATGGCCCCTTAGGATAAATGTCGTGACACACCAAGTCATAGAGACCAATGGCTCTTCTATACAAGAGGGAGCTTACAGAAGCCCTCGGACGCGAGCAGGCCAACAAGGACCGCTGGGAGACAGAACTTCCTTGCATGACCTTGCAAGTGTCTATCTGAATGCTGCCGTTCTGCAGCGGTATAGTTAGAATCATGTCAGAGTCAAGTCATGATGTGTAGCACCTCCGCCTTACCACCGCCCAAGCCAGCTAGGACTATGCTCGCGCATGGAAGGTTGCCATCAAGGCAGGTCGTTTCCGAGATGGCTTTACTGCATGTGGCATGTAAGAGTTCTGTTTTGATCTGCCAGGCAGTCAGAGCCATGCTCAGATTCAAGCGTGGAATGCGAGGGTGGTCAGGGGCGCCAGCTAGCGACTCGGCAGCGTGCAAGCTGATCCTTCCATGTGATCGCAAACCTAGGTGTCTCACCAGGTTTATGCATCCGAGTCGTGTCTCCCTTTATTATCTTTCTGTCTATCTGGCCGTCCGTTTGTCAGGGCTCCCTATAACGCCGAGTTTACAAGGTTCTAAAGATCACTTTCAGGTGCTGTTTTTTTAATCGAATTTGATAATTAGGACCGGCTGAAAAAGATGATAATCTAAGAGGCAGGGGCTTCGCCTGAAAAAAGGTGATAAGCGGCAAGGGGTTAGCGCCTGAAAAAGGTGATACTCTACATAAGACGCAGCACGGCTTAGTAAGCGCCTGAACAAGGTGATACACAGCATGGGTACAAGGAATGTACAAGAATTAGACGGAGAGCGAGCCAGAACGCCACAGATCGCAAGCAAATCAGCGACACGGACAGACGGCGATAGAGCTACAGAGATGGAGGGAGCGAGAGAGAGAGAGAGAGAGAGAGAGAGAGCGAGACAGGCAGAGAGGGAGAGAGAGAGGGAGAAGGGCCCCTCTGTAAACATGATGGACGGGGATGCGCCTAGGCGCGGGTTGGGGGGTACACCCCTCGGCCCTGACCCCTAGCAAAGCAAAGCAAAGAGAGAAGGGCCGTTACGTACGGGGGGCCACTAGGCCGGGGGACCTCAACAGTCCCCATGCCCAATGAAAGAAAGAAAAGAAGGGCCGCTAGCAAGCAAGCAAGAGAGGGCGGGAGGGTGAGAGAGGAGGCAGGGAGCGAGCGAGGGCGAGAGACAGATGGAAACACAGAGACACAGACCCATGATTGGTAGAAATTAACTACCTAAAGCGATTTTTTTAAAAGCAAGACAGGGAGCCCTGTTTGTCAATCTATTTCTTCGTGGGTCTTTGATTCTCTCGCACAGGCGGTGGGGAGCCGGCGATAGACCACACCTTGCGAGGCTTCAACGACGTCAGCTTTTTGCTGTCTCGCTTTTGTCTTTCTGTCAGGATTCCATTTCCTACCCCCGACGCCGCTCCGCCGAACGCAGAAGGAGTTGCCTCCGGACACAGTTGAGCTTCTGGACAGCAAAACCACAGGGACCACGCTTGCTTGAATGCCTGTATATGCCTTTAAAACGGCCAGAATCTCATGGGGAAGGATAGGTCTGAGCCTTGGGTGCTGGTTACTCGTGCCGAGGCTCGTCCTGCACGGCTTGAAGGGAGAGCTGCTGATGGGGTCAGGTCCTGAACGGCCAGATACCAGTGCGACAGGCGGCATTCTGTCAGACTCGTGAGCGCATCAGGCCGGACGTCGTGTCACTGGGCGTCAGCGTGTCGCAGATCAAGAGGCGCTTGTTGGTCTACTCTCGGCAGCAGGCGGGGAGGGGGGGCAGCTCAGAGTTGCTCGACTTGACACACCCTGTGGTGGAGGTGATCAAGGGCAGCGTGACCCGAGCCCTGCAGCTCTACAACTTCATTGCGCTGGGTGCTGTCGTGCACTTCCTTCACAATCGCCGGGCAGTTGATGACATGGCCCTTTGGCGGAAGCAGTACTCCCAGGCCTTGAAGTCACAGCGCCACGTGTTAGCCTTGAGCTACGGGGCTCTGAGACTCTGAGCCGGGCTCTGATGTTATGTGGGGCCCAGTTCTGAAGCGAATGCACGGTGAGGCTTATGTGTCCAATCTGCACGCGGAGAGTTAACGCGCCACCCCGCTGGAGCAGCCCGTTTCAACGGCCAAATCCAGCCGAAAGCTCGCCCTAAACCCATGACTCCTTCGACACTTGGCATGTACAAAAGTTTCAAGCACACCACACGTTCCTGGACACTCCCGGCTTGGCTTTCGTTTTCAAAAGCAGGCGAGGGCCATGCGCTCACCGTGGAGTCACTGCGACTCGCGGTCTCAACTCCGATAATTGCACTTTCACAATCCCACCACAAACCCAATCAAATGACATCGCATGGTGAAGAGCGAGTGATCGGTTCAGCCTCGGATACGACTACTGTGCTTACTCCAGGTCGCATACGATCACGAAGGCAAGAAAAGTAATAAATACTTCCCCCATGCTTCACAGCTTCCTCATTTCAGCCTTATAGTCTTATAGTGCCTTGTACATTGTGCTTTTGCAGTAGCGGGTTATGTCTTGTCCAACAACCTGCATCTTTGTGGAACTTCTGCTCTCCAAGCTGCTGCAGAGCAGTTTCCCCGGATCCTGGGCTCTTGAGGAGACTTTGAGGAACCTGCGGTTCGAAGAGCAGAACGAAGGAGCCGGGTCCAGCGAGTCCAGAGTCTGTGTTCCTGCCTAAGCAACCGCGGCCAACCGCGGATGTCGCCGGCCAGGCACTGGGAAATACTCGCCGGATACGATGGCGTGTTTTGACCGCACACTGCATTGCATAGAGCAGAACTGAGCAAAGTTGAAGTTTGCCTCCAGGCACCTGGCGCAGGTGAAGAAGAGCCTCAGCAAAGCTGGCACGGCCGATGAGCCTCGAGAGTTGCTTGCAGCTCCCAGGACCCTGAAAGACGGCACAGAGTCACAGGGAGTCTGCTAATGCAGTCGGCCTTTTAGTCCTTGGCAGGCTGGAGCTGATTGCGGTAGTCTTCGTGCACATCTACGGTGTCATCGCCTGGGGCGATGCTTCGGCAGGTGCCTCGCCATAGAAGCGATGTCCACCGGTCCACCACAGGATCACAGTACAGACATGTGTCCAGCTGCAAAGGCGGCTCCATCCCTCTCTCTTTGAGCGACCGCCTCTCTGGTGGGATCACCTTTGTTGTCGGCAACACCCGCGCGTTTGCAGCCGTGTCCCAATCAGGTGCGATTTAGCAGGATAAGACATTCACAGAAACTTGTGTCAAGAGGTCTTCTGCACCTGCCCAGTATCAACAACGCCAGTTCTTGTGTAGAAGAAGTCTGTACCGGATGGAGCACGGGTATCAACAGTGGGCCAACTGTTCTGCATTCTGCACTCCTCTCCAGTTGAAGGTGCCGTCACTACCTGGGGTGATCCAGCCTGTGGTGGGAACTCTGGCAGAGTGACAGATCAACTCAAATCTCGGGCCTTCCAAATTTGCCACAACGAGTGGGCATCACGGCAGCAATGTGCATTCTGCTGGTTCAGCTTTGCGGATGTTACCGTTGATGATAGCACTTGCCATGCGAGGCCTTCGCCGCTTTCAGGGAGGGTGGCCAGATCGTGTGTGCCCTTGAGAGAATTCGAGTTCTTCCAGTCGATGATCCCTCCACGATTCGCGTGTCAGGTTGGGGCGATCCCGATGCCGGTGGCCAGCCATCTGGGCTTGGAACATCCTTAGGGTCCGGTGTTGTGAAGGTTTGCTGCTCGGACTCGCAAGTATCCGTGCACCCGCCCTTGTCCTTCGCTTCATCTCCTGGTCTATCATCTTTACTCGGGCTCCTCCCTCGCCAAACTACCTAGACCTGCATCCCTTTAGTGCCCTTTGCACTGGGAACTGGCAAGGCAGCACTGAGTTCGCCTTCGCTGCGTTGAAAGAAAGCGGGCAAGTCGTCACCTGGGGCGATCCGAGCGTGGGCGGCGATTCCAGCGGCGTTGCAGAGAAGCTGCAAACCGGCATTGTCAACATCTGGGCGAATGCTGGCGCGTTTGTGGCAGCAAAGTCTGACGGGTCCTTGGTTATCTGGGGCGACCCAAGCGCTGGAGGGGACATGAGCGCGCTCAACCAGGTGTGACGGTCACACGCAGGGCTTTGCAGCACAGTCGTGGTTTGACCAGTGGCCTGCAGCATAGAGCTTTCTCAGGAGGAAGCTCGCGATATCGAGACCTTGTACTGCAACATCCGAGCCTTCGCAGCGATTGCTCAAGGCTGGGAAGCTGAGCTGAGCAATGCCGTGAGAGAATGTCGTGTGGCGAACTGGATTGCAAGGAGGTCGCGTGGTTGCCTGGGGCGCTCCTGGATGTGGCGGGGACACGTCAGCAGTCGCGTCGCAACTCACAGAGACCAGGCTTATTTCCACAGTCAGCCCGATTCAGCCCGCCTTCCCGTGGTTTAGACGCTAACAAGAACGTCGGTAGTCAGCAGCAGCAATGCTGGCACTTACATGCGGTTTCCGCCTTGTTGGGGTGTAGCTGAGGCGGGTGTTCGAGACATTCGGACCAATGGCCGTGCTTTTGCTGCCATCAAGGACTGAACTTCAATCAATCGGGAGATCTGGTGGCTTTCGGCTGGGATCGCTTATGTTTTGATGTTAAGTAGTCCCTACCAATGCCTGCAACTCGAAAGCAGGAAAAGGGAGCGGTGGTTGCTTGGGGCAATCCAGACTTCGGTGGCGACGCAAGCGCAACAAGCCATCTCATGCAGCACAGCATTGTGGATGCTTGCGCTGCATGATTTCAGACATTATCCTGGTGCTTGAAGATTCGTCCGCCAATTGATCAGTTGAGGACATCATCCCGAGCTTGAAGGCATTTGCCGCTTTAAGAGAAGACCCAATGAGTTCCTTGTCCTGAGTTCTGGGTTCTCTTGAAATCCTTTAGGGTTCAGGGTTTGCTAGACTCTCAGGCAATGGCTTCACCGTCATGACGTGGGGTGATCCACAAACTGGCGGAGACTCAAGTGCAGTGTCCCACCTGCTGATTGGCCAAATACTGCAGCTTGGTCATGCAGTCTTGAGCAGATTGCACGCTGCCACCTCACATGCCGATTTGCTTCGAGGCAGGTGGTGGCCAACGATTGGGCATTTGCAGCCAGAAGAGATGACGGCATCGTTGTGTGCTGGGGCGACCCAGCTTCTGGGGGTGACAGCTCAGCTGTACAGGAACGTATCCATCAAGCAGGCGAGTGGCATTGGCGACCTTACTAATTTTCGTGTTCGGACAAAGGAAGCCGTCACCTACAAACAGCCTACAAATAATAAATAGGATAGAGAGCAGCATCAGAGCCCGCGATACTGCATTTTGCAGAGCGGCCGTCAGCCCCAACAGCCCCCTGAACGACCCTCCGCCACCCTGTTGAGCTCGCTCCCATAAGCTGCGAACAGTAGCGCAACGAAAAATACCCTTCAGAGCATCAGGCAGGCGCACAGGTCCAAACCAACATACAATTTCGGAGTTTTGGGCATCGAGACCCAGTCTTCGGGCCTGTTCGGGCTAGGCAGGCTTTACTCGGTTCGTGACTCTTATGGCTGGTGAAGTGAAGGTGGAGCGGTGGCCTTGTACAAGACGTCCAGGGCCTTTGCCGCGGTCCTCCAGGATGGCTCCATTTGCGCCTGGGGTGAGCCCAGCTGTGGAGGGGACTCCACCCCCGTACCCCGGCCGAGTTCAGGACGGGATGCGGGCTGCCTCCTTCATCTCAAGCTAGTCTGCCAGGCCGAGTTTGAGCTGGGAGAAGAGAAGGCCGCCGAAATGCGAAACAAGAGCACTGCGCTTGATGATTTGGGAGAGATGGACTGCCCGTGCCCGGCTCTGTCATTTTGGCATTGTCTAAGCATGTACTGGAAGAGTGAGACGGCGCATCCCAGTTTCGACGGGGCATCAGTGAAATCTGAAAGTGAAAGAACTCCACAGCAGCAATTTATCCGGTTTGGGCTTTTGTACCCATCGAGCAACCCTTTTCCCTCGCGCCAGAAATTGTACCCCGTGTCAGGTCCTGGACATGTGTGCGAATGATTACGCATTTGCTGCTCGTACTTCGCGCGGATCTGTTGTTGCTTGGGGCCCGCTGCTTAGACATGTCGGCCAGTCAGTGTGGTGCCACCACGGCAGGGCCATGCAGGGCATGTGTCCACAGTGCATACAAGACTCGCGGAATCACCACGACAGTTCAAGGTCACAAGCTGTATGGCGGCCACATCGAGGAGGACGTTGTGGGTCAAAGCCAGAGAACCTTTTGTGTGTCCTGGTAATTTTTCCTTTGCAATCGTCTAGTGTGCAGCCGTTGCCAACAAACCAGTGATTCCGCGAGGCAGGCAGAACCATAGCTCGAATCACAGGAGGCTGCTGCCAAGCTGCAGTCCGGCGTTACAAAGATGATCGGCAGCCGAGATGAAACTGTTCGCATGTCTGCCCGGAAGTGCCAAGCGATGCCCAGCGCATGTCTCTTTGCAAATGTTGCCCGAGGCAACAAGTTCTCCTTCCTCGCAATGAAGAGATCGGGCACCTATGTAACATGAATCGATGAACCAAGCAGAGCCACAAAGATCGGGCTCGCTTAGATGTGCAGACATGCAGCAGGGAGCCGCCAAAGGTGCTCCTGCTGCCTCTCGAAGGATGAACGGACACGCTCCAATAATTGCCTCGCACTTTTGCTGTGCATCTCCGAACAAATTTTGGACCTGTGTGCAACTCCTTGCAGTTCCAGCACGCGATCCCGCGGACGAGATGGCACTGGACGCTGCTGGAGCAAGCACTCTTGGGACTGATTCGTCGGGCTCTCGATCTCCAAAGACAGCCATCATAATCTGAATGCACGAGTCGGGCATGTACAGACCAGTGACCGGCGGAGGGGCAGGGTAGGTGGTAGGTAGGCAGGAAGGTAGGAAGCATCAGTGATGTGCGGCAGAGGTTGTTGCCTGACCAGAAGCTGGATGCCATCTTGAACCAGTGGAGAGAAAAGCTGCTTGTCTTAGTTGGCAGACGGGCGCTGAATCATGCAGGTCTGCTGTGGCGCAGAATCGCATAAAGCAAGTACAGCATTGACAGAAACCGTCCACCTGACCCGATAAACGCCTGAGACATGAGTTTTTATAGCCAGAATAGATGTAGGTCGATGTTGTTTGATGAGTACAGACGTGGTGAGTGGTGATGGATGCAAAGCCAATGCTGCTGGCAAAGAACAGACTTCGGCTTATGCTGCTTGTATATGTTTCCAGGTGCTATCCCGCCGTAGTTTCAGATGGTAGAGATGTATGCAGGTCCAGGTACGTGTCGACGACGGCTGGAATCTAAGGTATGCTGCTTTCCAGCGGGCGACGCAAACCGTCGGGGGCCAGGTGATCATCAAAGACTGTTTTCAGTGTCAGATGTTCCGATGCTTCCCGTGTTTTAATGTCAAAGCCAGCTCAAATCCACGACCGCGCAGTCGGAGCGCACACACGCACAGACTCGGAGACACAGTTCGAAATTGCGGACCAATCATGATCAAGAAGAACCTATAGACCAGATTGACTTCGGCATGGACGTGGCGGTGATCGCCGTGGCAACATGCGGTGGAAGGTCGTCGGCGGGGTTGGAAAAGGTTCTTTGTTCGCAAGCAGAAGGGAGTTCGAGCTACAGCTTTGTCTTTCGAGTGAAGTTGGTTTTCGAGGGACAGGCTTCAAGACGGTTCTTTAAGCGGGGCGGGGCCTGAGGAGGCATCATCGTTCGATGCGCTTCGGCCGTGGGCTCCGAGCAGCTGCCACAGCGCCTCGAAACTGGTGCAGTTGTCCAGGATCAGCTTCGCTTGAAAGACGATGGGCCTGACGGGACGTGTAATCACCGGAATCATCTTAGCTCAAAGCTTTATGTTCCATCCTTTCACCACCCAAACCCAAGGAAGCTTGATTGAGGGTTGTCGGTGTGCTGAGATCATCGCAGCTTTCGGTTCAGGAGTTGGCGCGGACTTGAGTGTCTTCGAGTAATTATCATTGGGGTTCAACATGGAGGCCTGCTTTTCACGGTTCAAAGGCCTGGCCTTGTCTGCCCCCTGAAAGGAGCTTTCCCTGCAGGGCGAGCGATTGCACTACGAGCTGATCTCCGGAGTGGGGCCGCCGCAGGGCTGGGTGAGCACCAGCTTACAGGGCAGAGCTCTTCTGGAACGGGCAGATGAGCAGGCGGAGGAGGTGGAGGCTCTTCCAGATGAAAGCGCTTTGCCAGCTCTGTCTGCGAGTAAGTGGCTGGCAAAGTACGAGCACAGGAAGGAACCCAAATGCAGGTGACTTGGATACTGCCATGCTGTGGAAGGACAGCCTAAAGGCTTATAGTGGCCCGCGTAGCTTAGGCTCGTGTGCTTCTTTGGTGCCGGGCACGACGCGATTGGATTTGCGCACTGGAGACCCGGCACGACTGCCCCTGTCTGAGTAGCTACCTGCCTTGGAGAAAAAGAATGAAACCCTAAGGTCCGTACGTGCACGAAAGTACAGGAACGTGTGTATATCTGTGTTGTGGTTTCTCTACTTTCACCAGAAGAAGGAATCAGCTCGTGGCGGAGAAGCATCCTTCCATCGAGCTGCTGCTGATTACTTTGCCGGGCCATGGCGTGAATCGTCATGTGCCTGTGCAAGAGAATGCAGAGGCCCGTTGGATTCTAGGCACCTGTTATTTTCACACAGCCTCTCTTGCAACGCAACCCGCGGTGAAGGCACTAGCGAAGCTGGCCGCTGAAGAACTGCTGAGCCTCAGCGAGCACTTTGGCCCCTTCGGACTGTTGGGCTTCTCTGTGGGTGCTACAGCCAGCAAGGACCTTAGCCATGGCTTTCCTTGCACAGAGAAGCCACTTGGGAGGCTTTGGCTGTGAAGCTTTGAAAGTTTGTTCGAGGCTATGCGCTTGCACTCGAGATGATCTCTCGTGGACGGAAGCCATTGAAGTTGTATGTTGCTGGCAGGGCTGGGCCAAAGGTCTGCTTCCGGCCTCCGGCACATCAGGATTCGTCTAGCGGGTAGGAAAGATCCGGTTTCATATATAATATAGAGTTACTGCACTCGCAGCTCGGAGCCTGCTCATTTCGAGTGCCGGAGTCAAGGCGGATGCACCGTGCCGGGCTTTTCGGATCAGGCTGTAGGCCTTACGCTTCTGATTCAGGATTGGGTCTTTGCTTTGGTTAACAAAGACCGCACCCCGCGAGCACCGTGTTTTGATGAACATGACCAGGAGATTTGGGCCTTAGATTCGATTGGCTGGATACGCTGGTTCGTTGCTAACTTTGCGACTGAAGATGATGTCAAAAGAACAGACGCTGAGCTTTCTTCATCCTTGCCTGTCCTGTATCACGACAGTACTTGTGTCAACGAACGCATGCGGTTGCCCACAGGAACGACTGATTCAGTTGTCTGACGGGCCCAACGACGGTCTGTTAAAATCCATTTCGTCGTCGCAGAAGGCGGACATGCTTCTTGGAGACAGTTTGGCAGGCACGGTCAGTGCTGTCAGTCAGCTTTTCGCCTTGAAGGTGGCCACTGCTGGGATCAGATGCATTCGTAGTTGCCGGAAAGGTGCAGAGCTCCCAGCCATTGAATCGGATCTCTACGTGCTAGCATCAAGGGCCGATGAAGTATGGCCAGCGGAGGACAGTGCAAAGTGCCTCGGCTTGGATGCACGGCCCACCAGCCTCCACCCCCCAAGCCAAGGCATTACAAGCTGTTGACAGTTGCATGGCTCGCACGGTTTGCGGAAAGCCTCCTAGCAGGCCGGTACATGATCCATCGTGTCCCTCCAGCTCCGAGCAGGTTTGGCAACCGTTGTTGCCCGGCGTACATGGACTGCGCTGAGACCTGGAAGCCGTATACTCTCGGATCAACGACTCTCAAGTATTTCGACGACTTGACTCACAGCGAGCTGTGCACCGAACTCCTGCTGGAAGAAGTTTGTCGTGACCTATCAGCCGTGATGCAAGATGCGCGCGAGGGGGAAAAAGGCACTGCTTGTTTGAGCAGAGGGTGGAAAGCGTTGGGGAATGATGCATGTACCGATGGGACTTGGACTGCGGTTGCATCGGATGCACACAAGCACCAGGCTCTGCATGAGTCTCTCTTGTATGTGCGGTGTGCTTGCACTGCTGATGCACATCTGGGACCGTCTCTTCCACTGTCTGACAGAGACTCTGCTTTGTCGCTGTGTCACAGGCTAGAGCCTAGAAGCAGGGAATAATTTGCATGGATCTTCCAGCCTCCTATGTTTTGCAGTATCTTTGCGGCCGAGGGTTCGGGGGTTGGTTTGCCTTCTTGCGCGAACAGAAGTACAGTTGCTCTTTGATGGCTAAGCCGCTAAGCGATTGGAAAAGGCTGATGCAGGTCTTGAAGTTTGCATTCAGCCTGAGGAGTCTCCCTCTTTGACTTGGTTGCCCAGGTCCTAAGCACCGATGCGACCATGACCACTTCAAAGCCAGCGCGAGCTGCCAACTTGTTTGCGATGACAAACTTCTTCTACTGCGACCTGGCAGAGCGGCACGAGTAGTATGACAGGTGTTGGAGCTAGCCGTGAAGCATCAGAGAGCGATGACGAGGCTTTTGAGTTACGTGATGTTGCATGTTAGAAGCAAGCACCCTTACCTGGCGCGACGGCATCCCACAAGTTTATCTCCTTTTGCGAGGCTTTTCTGCGGAAGATCAAGCAGGAAGTAGGCGCGAGGCTTGGTTTGACCATGTTGGCCTGTTTATACAGCGAGCAAGTCATTTTGGCGATATTCGTTTGGTAGTCTTCCCGCACTTGCACGAACCTACAAAGGCGATGATGTGTGTGTGCAAAAAGGATCTTGTTCGGTCGCTCTGATGTGGCGAAGATAGCCAGCAAATCTGTCCGCCTAGCCAGGCCAGCAGAACCAATCGTGACGCAGAACTCATAGCATGTTCTTGTGCACTAGACAGACTCATTGACCTTAATCCCCTCGCCAAAGCGTGACACCGGCGGAAATTAAAGTCATGCTTGGCGAGGTCTGGATGCTGGTCCGATTTGGGACTCCCTGCCAACTCCAGGTGGTGTGCTGCATGGGTGGGTTTTGCAATGATTCGAGATGTTGTGATGGCTGGGCCTGCTTCTGAGATTCCAGGAGAAGGCAGCGCAGGTGGCAGCCCAGTCGCGGCAGAGGCCGACCTGTACCCGCTACCGGTTGCTTTTGAAGAGGAGCGCTTGTGCTCGGTGCTTTATTGTCTTCGTTCCGACAGCATATGTATCAATTAGGCCGCTTCGAGTTCGAATCAGGAAAGAGAGGAAAACGTCTGGCTCATCGGGACAACCAAAGGCTCAGAGGGATGTGCATCATATGCCAATCAATCCCGAGACGGGCAACCAGAATCAATCTCGGTAGCGTTTGTTGGTGCTGGCAGCAGACACAGCCCACTCAATACGAAAACCTTTTCACCGCGAAGCCCACGCAGTACCAAATTTTCAAACCCGCGCTGCACGCTCATCATTTCTCATGCGCAACAGCCAAGTATTAACACAAAACATGCTGACCTTGTTAAACCTGTTGCCGTGCGGATGGCCATTTGCCAACCCTTGGGGAAATACGTGCGCTTGGAGCATGTGTTTGTCTGGTCCAAACACCGAGCTCAAGGGCTTCTAGTGGTTTTGCAGTAAGTTTTGTGCTGTTTCGGTGTACGTGTTCCGGAGAAATACTGGCTGTAGCAATCTCTTCGGTTGGAGACCCGCTGGAGCTGGTCTGGTTTGTTCTGAAACGTAAGTGCCGAACGTCTGGGTACATGGCCAGCGTTTGCTGCCATGCCAAAACGGACACTTTAGGGTGGGCTGCACCCTTTCCCGCTTGGCTTGGCATTCCCTCCTGTATGGCATCCAGAAAAACGTCCGGAAGCAGCGGAGAAAGCAGCGGTGGAGAAGGTTTCATCTGCGCGCGGAAATTCGATTCGCTTCCTCGATTCTTCTCAAGCACTCCAGCCGTTCTGGACGTGGAGCGCATTAGCTTCAGCGCCTGGTCCTGTGTCACGGAAAGTTCGCTGGAAGGCCCCTCCCTTCCGTTCAAAGCAACTTCACGACAAAGACCTGACAGGAGGGTGAATGACGAACCAGTGTATATGTTCGTACGAAGCTGCTTGGCATTGCTTGGCCGAAACTCTTGCTGCTGCCCTGTGGGGATTAGAGGAGGTGGCAAAACAAGTTTCAACAACATGGCGAAGTCTATGTGCTCCAGCCTGCTCTGTAGGAGTCAATCTGCGTGTGATAAAACATAGTAGCTGGAGCAGCGATGGACCGTTCTTCGGCCAGTGTTCTACCACCTCTTGAAGCGCATGTTCTAACACGCTGAGTGAAGGAGGCACACCACGCAAAACCAAGCCATGGCACTCATGAGATAACCAGTTCGGCAACAGTGCGCATCAATCAGCCAATTTCCAGCGCAAGTCAGTCAGCAATACCGGACGAGATGCGCATTTGAGTCTATGTGTGGACCCTCAGCCGTGCGCGATCTCCATATCATGTGTCTTTTTTCCCGGGACATGCAACGAGGCATAAGAACTGCATATTCAGTGGGCTCGGGCTCAGCATTCAGGATTTGTAGGTAAATGTCCCAACAGCTCGCTTGTCGAGGCTTGGCATGTGCAGCGAACGAGTTTCACAACAGAGTCGCCCGATGCCGTTAAGCTTTGTATCGTTCTGTTTCTTGGATGTGACGTTTCCTTGATCGTGCAGGGGACACCCAACCTTTGCAGGGTTTACGGGTCTAATTCTTTCTGTGAGACAAAACGCGGACGGCTCCTGGCCACACTTCAGCAGGATGCAAAACAAGCATGTACAGAATGAGAACCCGGGCCCGAAGAAAAAATGCGTCTGATGCGGAATTGAATCCTGGCCCGTGCCTAAAGATGCAGGAGTTTGGGCATCTCCGATCAGCTCTTCCAGCAGATGCTGAGGAACAAGTCTGGCAGGCTGGGTCTTCACGAACGGTGCAGAGCACGGAAGCAGCCCCAGATTTTCGAAAGTGATCGAAGGAAGGAGCTGAAGCTGAAACTCACGACGGAGATGATGACACGAACACTTCTGGTCCTCGCGAAGCTGCCGCAGCCGGCGAGAGGGACAAGAATGCAGCTCAGGCCATTTATCTCCAATCATTTGCAACTATCGGCCCTATGCACCCGGCAACTGACGTTTTGCACTTGCCTGCTGCGTGCCGCCTCAGAGGCTCAAGGGTCCTGTGATGTCAGCTGTAGCTGGGAGGCCGACCATGTATTGCCTGGCTATAGGCCACCTTTTTCAAGCCAGAAGCTTCGAAACAAGACATTTCAACCGCCATAGCAGGGATCGACGGCCATGGGCGGGACAGGCGCAAAGGCTGTCTCATGCGGGCGAAGCTGTGAAACTACATGTGTGGAGCATATTGGGGCCGCTTGCCTGACCTGATGTCGTAGCAGATGTGCACGACCATCTATCGCCGAATTCAAAGGTTGACGTCTATGCGGTGACGCAGTGCGCAGGCACCAGACCAGACGTTTCACGACGAAAGCTGTCTCTGCATTTCCACGCCGTCAGCAGTAGAGTCCGTCATCCACGAGGCCACCCAGATGGTGATTTGGCGGGCACAGAGGCCGGCCAGAACAAGCCGAACGTGTGCAGTAAGGGCAACGTCGACTCGTTGGGATCGTATGCTCGAGAGAAGTGTTCGCGGCACAACGCAGCCAGGCGCTAGACCGCTAGACTAGCCGAGAGCATGTTTCAGCATGTTGATTACATCATCTAATTAGCGGGATTGTGTCAAGCATGACACCTACGACATGCGACAGGCTATGAACGTGCACAAATTGCTCGTGGCCGCAAAGGAGGGCAGACAGGACGAGCCGAAAATGCTGAGCGGTGCTTCGCGCATGCTTGGTTGCCGGGGTCTACGCTCAAACTCGTGCGTTTGTCAGGACGAAATTGCGGCGCTCCTGGCTGAAGGCTTGCCAATTGATCGAAGGCACCGATGCAAGAAAATCCAATGAGGTCTGTTTGCACGACTGGTGCTGGAAGTTCCTGCAGGCGACCGTTCTTCATGAAGCGCGAGAAGGAAAATATAGGACCATCGGAGGCCGTGCAAGATGCCCGGCAACCGGGCATGACAGCCTTGATGCCACCTCGGCTGCAAATCATGGATTGAACAGCCCGTCATTCCTCGCTGCCAGTGCTCCGGCCGCTGCCCTGTCAGATGCCTAACCTAACGCGCCACTGAGGTATGCAGCTCAGTCTGGTTACCCCTCCTGCTGTGCTCGGCTATTGGTGGTGGACTTAGGAGATCTTAGGAGCATTCCAGAATGCGAGACAAAAAAAGGTTGCTTGACACACGTACTCGTAGCGAGCGGCTGAAGCGAGGTCGGCAAGGCAAACGTGAATGCGGAGGACGAGGCAGTCGTGCTGCGGCTATCTGCGGCTCAGAGCCAGTGATGTCGTCGTTTAGAGCCGACGGTCGACAGGATGGCACCCGGCCTTTACACTTTGCCGCGTCTTCTGGCAGAATCGACCTTTGCAGACTTCTGATCGAGCCCCTTGGCACGAGCCTTCACAGCTCCTGGGCTGTCGGTGCTTGCGGAGTCGCCGCAACGCACCAGATGAAGTTGTTTGTACAACACCGGATGTATGAACTCAGAGAGTGGGATTTGGTGAGTTGGTGTGAGCACAACCTTGAGGTACAATGCCGATGTACATGACTCTCGGCATTCAGATGTGAGCGGAATGAGTCGGAATGAGTGTATTTTCTCCTTCGGTACTATACTGTCGGACTGCCCAAGTTGACAAACCGCCCACGGGCAGGTAACGTGACAAAGCAGTGCAACCCGAGGCGGTCACTGACGACGGCAAGGCAGCTGTCGATTTCGTACCTTGAGCTGGCAATTAGCCTTGCCAGAGGGCACGGATGTCTTAAAATCACTGAGAGATGAAAGCTTGGCCGAGGTGCCAGACGATGCCATTCCAACCGCGAAGCACTACCAGATGTGGCGCACCGTCCTGCAACGGAGCCCGACAGAGAAGGCCCGTGACAGAAGGTCTCGATCTGGCGCATTAGAAAAGAGTCTGGCTCTTGACCAGGTGGACGCTGACAAGGCGCCAACGCCTCCGACTCAAACTGATGGCAGTGGTGACGCGAAGAGCGAGGCAAACAGCTGGCTGCATGAGCAAGAGTTTCAGCATGAGCCTGATGTGACGCGATGAACAGCAGCAGACTGTTTAACTTCCCAAAGAGGGGGTTAGCAGACTGACGGAATCAGATTCGAAGTCGAGCTGTGGCAGAGCTCAGACATCTTTCTTTCATCCTTGATTTCAGACCAGTTTGGAGCGTGCCAGTTGTGAGACTTGCAATAGGTGCTCCAAACGTGCATTGCTTGCACAATCGGACACTGTGTCTCACCGTAGAAGGCTCTTTCTTCGGCTATGACAGAGCCAATGCAGCGACTTACAAGCCTCGGCTGCGCGTTCCGCACAACATGTGCACTAGCCGTAGCTGACTCCACCAGTAGACTGCCGTTTCAGCTTCTGCGCACCGCATGAGCTACTCTTGCAGCAGGACGAAGCGGCATGGATTCAGCCAGACCACAAAACCTCTGACGCAGCAACAGGCGGGTTGCTCGAGTAAGTTTGATATACTGTGAAGCCATTTCATCAGGTGTCGGCGGCGCTGCGTTTGAGCCAAGAGACCAGGCAGGAAAGCATTGACCGGCATAAGCGGCATAGGCATAAGTGCATAAGTATGAAACCGTGGAGTTCCTGTCAGCCGTGGGCAAATTTCTTGTGTTTGGGCAGATGCTTGCTCGGCTCCTGGCCCTGGAAGCTGAAGTGTCACGACTGCGCGAAGGCCGGTTGTGTTTCGTCGTGCCCGCACCTCTGTGCCATAGTCTGCTGCCCCTGACCAGGAGCGGTAAGTGCGTGATGGACTCAGATCCCCACAGTCGAAACCCAGAAGCCGAGAGTGCAGTAGCAGGCGGTAGACGCACGCTTCTTCTCCTTGCCTGAGTTCGGAAGGAGTCCGTTGTCTCCAGAGCCAAGCGCTGAAAGCCCGAGACGCCTCAGCCCCTTACTTGTGTGCTGGGCACCGGTCCCAGATCTTGTTGGCGCGCCGGGACCCAGGACCGGAAGAGAGAGGACGAGGTGGCATGACGGAACACGGCGAGGCGAAACCTGAAAGGTCTAAGAACGAAACTGGTGTCGGACGTTTCGGCTGAGATGCTTTCGTGCAAGGCATTGCTCAACTCCTTGGCCATGAGCTTGCTGTCCTCGGGCAGTTCATTGCTTTGACCTTACTTCCAGGTTTTGCAGGAAGCTGAGGGTCAGGAGTCGAGGCCTGACGTAGCCAAGGTTTGCCTCACTCTCTGATGGCCCGACGTCTCCGGTTTGGCACCAGGGCTCCATGCCAAGATTCAATGTCTTTGGTGGAACTGGGTCACAGCCTGGTATCTGATGGCCCGAACCATTGCAAGAACTGCAGTGAAGCAGGCAGTGGCGCAGCTTTTTCCCAGCAGGCATCGTCGGTGCCAGTTGAATTTCTGAACGGTGAGAGCGAAGCAGTGCTTCAGCGGGATACGCTGCATTCTCCCTTGCCCTGCGGCCATTTTCAGGTGTCAGGCAAGCTAGGATGATGGCTGTGGTAGCCTCGCAGCCTCCACCTGAAGAGTCTGGTGCTCGCTGCCCAGCATGGTTGCCGCTGGAATGGGGCGAAGGTGCAATGATGCAACGGCTGCTAGAAGCTGCCAACATTCTTCGAGACGGTGGCACGCAGAAGAGGGCGCGGGAGGCTTTTCAAGAGGCTTACACAATTCACATGCGACAAAATGATGAGATGCACCTTGCTTTCTCCGCGGCTCTCCCGCTGTTTTTCGAATCCTTAAGAACAGGAGAGAAAGGCGGCTATGGTGCTTCGTGTGGTCGCGGACAGTTGACTTTTAGAAAGGATCACTCACACCTCGACATTCCAGCCTGCATCAAGCTGTTGGAGGGGTTGCAATCCCTCTCCAGATTTGGCGATAGTCCACCCGCCTTGCCTCCAGAAGGCTGTCCAAGGTGGGAGTATGTTCGCGAGCTTTGCTCGCAGGCCGCTCTATCTCTGGATGTAGCACGGCTCGTCTACTTAGAAAGGCGTAGACGGAGTCAAAATCCAGAGCCTCAAAGCTCGCCCCTGAGCGACCAAGTTCCGGAAGCTGTGCCTATGCAAGAGGAGGTCCGCGGGCCAGCCTCGGAGAAAGAGAAAGGAGACTTTTCAACGCAATTGGTCCTAGATGATGGCCAGGAGGCAACGTCGGCCACGGACTCTCATGGCACCTTGTCCGGCATCTCCCGGGAAAGTGCCCCGAACACCATAAGCATCGAGGAATGCGCACGGCTAAGGCAAGTCGCCTTAGTGCGGGCAGGCCATTTCCTCAGCGCTTTGCAGGATCCAATGGACCAGCTGAGAGCAGAGTATGTAAGTTCAATGGACCAGCAAATGGCCGGACGGGAGAGCGAGCTTTTGTTCCCATCCTTCGGCAAGTTTGTGGAAGAGCAGTTGCTGCCTCTCTATGTGCGCGACATTAGCATTTCCACGCTGGGCGAGGCTTGAAAGGGTCCAGAGAGTGATAAGAGAACTGGTGAAGGTGTTTAAGTGTTTCCTGTTCCAGCTCGACCCCTCATGGCAGGTCATGATGTATTACTGTGCGATTGAAGTGGACGCCAAGGATGAGCACAGGGCCCGGCAACTGCTGGGCGTAAGTTCTCAGTCTGGCTTGAAGAGGAAGCTTAGCGTGGCATCATCGGCTCCGGTAACTCCCATGGGTCCCATCAGCCAAAGAGAGCCGACGCTTCAGGACCTCATTCAGGACCAGACTTTTGCAGTGTGCTCTCAGCTGTGCTTCCTAGCTTTCCGTTCCCGAGTTAGCACTTTGAAGGCCAGTGAGGCAAGCATGAAGAAGCAAAAGATGCGAAGCGAAATGACGACCTCCGTGGTGGAGAAGCGCCGGCACGGCATGCCGGCGCAAGCAGACTACTTAGCACCCAGCAGTGTTGCCAGACCTTTCAGTGAGCGTCGGCCCACCGATGCTTGCATGCAGTTTGGAGTTTTGCAGGTTGGCATCGCAGAACTACTCCTGTCCGCCCACGCCTAGCGGTAGGTTTCTTCTTGCACTGTATGTGTCAGGAAACGCCTGTACGCCATGTAGGCATGCGCTTATGAGGTTCACTTAGAGGTAAAGCTTAGTGTTATGGCAAAGTTGAGGCTTACGACACACAGCTTGGCTTCGTAGACGTGGAAACTTGAACTTGTTCGTAAGACGCGGTGCAAACAACAAGCTCGAGCTAAGGATACCTCTGGAAGCCAACAGGAGAGGAAGCAGCGCATACCCGAGCAGCGAACACCCGAAAAGAAGCTGAAGAGCTCAACTTCGGTGTCCACGGCCTTGTGGAAGTCTCCTGCTCCCATGATGCAAACTCCTCCGCGCTGCTCGGCTAGACGCCTCCGTGCACTTTGTCGCTGTGTCGGTCTGAAGTCTGCCTAAGGTCGACCTAAAGAAGACAAATCACCGGTGACTTGGGAAAGACGGCGCGCCGCCGACCATGTCCAACCATCGCCAAGACACTCGATGACAGCTGCTTGGCTGCTGCGCATGTCGTGAAGTTTGTAGAACAGCCATGTGCCTCGGCAGATCGTTGGCCCAACGTGCTGAGGCAGACTGGACGGTCTTTCCCTTCTCGCCATGATATCTATCCGGTACAAGACACTGCTTCTAGCTGCGCGCGCATGTAATTCAGCCGGGTTCTGGGTAGAGGCGAGTGTGACCACAATCCGCAGATGTGCTGTCTGCGGGCACTGCGCAGTTTCACGGGGCAAGAAAACGGACTGACAAGGCCAAGCGATCCAAGGGCACCTCCGTAAAATTCCAAGCGAGTCCGGCTCCAGGTGGAAGCAGAGCCGGTTCGCGATGCCGAGAACAGGCATGGCTGCACAAGTTGCGTGTTGTGCAACGAACAGGAGAAGGCCCTAATTTATAATTAGCTGACAGGCCGCAGCCGAAAGAGGAGAGGTTCGAGGAGGATCCGTGCCAATTCTATCGGCTTTGCCTGGGAGCGATGCTGTCATTGTCACGAACGCGACTGTAATGAGTGGGTAGTGCGGCCAAGCCAAGCCGGGAGCCAAAGGCCGTCGCAAGTACGTCTAGGACCCTAGGAAAGGCTGCTGGAAGTACGGACCGGTTGAATGTGTTCCATAGAGCGGCTCAGTGGCTCATCTCCTGAGGCATAGCTTGGCGTAGGCAAAGGGCCGTTAGACCTAAAGGCAAATAGACCTACGCTGTGGTCATTGCCGGAGACTGGGTGGGGCACCCCATCCCAAAAAGCCAAAGAGCCAGTTTACGAAGATCCTTGCGAGTTCGGTGCCGGTGTGTTTCCCATGTTATTGTTAAAGTATGCGTGGATGTTGTGTCATACAGGAGGCTGAAAAGGCTTTGGACCCTGGGACTCCGCTTCCATAGATTCCAGTGTGTTCCACGGGAATTCTTCAGCTGGCGGGTGGGCCACAGCGTGCGAGGATCCGGCTCGACCTGGGCAGGAAGCGGATGGTCTCGTTCAACAGTCTCGGACCTTGGAAACCACGGTGCAGGCAGGGCTTCTGAGAGCAGAGGAGGCGAAAACCAATAAATCCAAGTCTCGATCTGATGGTTTGGTTTTTGCCGACTTTGAGCTTCCTAGGACGCAATTAAATCCAGCTGTACTTGTGTGGCTGGTGCATGCGTCAAACAAAAGCCTGATGTTCGTTGGTTTGTGCGGCCGCAGTCTTCCTCCCCTGCCATTGAACTCTATTAGTTTGCATACTTGCAGAATGTTGTTTGAATCCTATGCGACTTTTGTACCGGGATCCCAACTAACTCGTGATTAAATTGCTTGGTGCAGTGTCGTAGCTTGAGGCTTGCCACGGTGTCCGAGGTGGAGAATACTAGCGGTTACTAGCAGCTGAAGCACTTGAATTGCAACACTATCAGTTTCGAGGTGAATATTAAAGGTCTGGAATGCTAAAGCGTCGTTCAAGGATTAGCATAGTTCGGGATCCCAGCTTATGCCTACTCCAACTCCAGGTTAATTAACTCAAACGGAGCTTTCCACCAGAATCCCGAACCAACTGATGGTGCAAAAGCTTGGTGCAGCATGCCCCTTGACAAATCAAAGAGCAACTGAGTTGAAACCTGTCAGGTTCAATAGTAAGTATTTGTGTACGGAGTGACTAGGTACTGTATTTGCAGGAAGTTTACTGTCACGTTGTGGCTTTTGTATCCTGAACCTTTGCAGTGAACAGCACACAGCGGTTCATAAAGCTAACTCAAGCGAGTAGGTTGAAAGCCGGGGAGACTTTACGCGGTCGCCCAGGGGCTTTTAGACAGACTTGCGCACAAACCAGTTGGGGTCCCTCAACCCTGAACCGCACACCCAGCCTTTCAGGCTAGCCACGCAGGAAACAAAAAAACCCTTAGCCCCCAGCCTGAATCACATCAACGGGTACGAGGCAAAACATCGCGTCAATGCCTTTGCCGGTTTTCGCAAGCATAGAAAGTCACGCCCCGATATTGGGAGAACGGGGCCTTGGGAGGCAGCTAATCGCTTACATGACCATTTCATTTATGGCAGCTCTTGCCGAGAATTTGGTCATTGCTTAGTTGTTTGTAGGCGTGGGCATTGACTGCTAGACCGTTTCGCAACGTTCAAGGGCGAATGAGTTAAATCATTAGTTAACTCTCGGATTCACTGCCGTGTGCCAGAACCTCGTGCCAGGTTCCAGAGTTCTCAGGAGTGGCTGCAGCAGTGCAGACCGAAGCAGAAGACAGCGTTGAAGACACCGCAATCGCCAAAAGTGCAGAGAAGCCGAGCACGGTTGCGGAGCCAATGCCGCCCTCGCCGCGACCTCAGACAACTCGAGCATCAGCGGCCAACGAGATTTTTTGCGAGGAATCGACAAGGTGCAGATGCAGAGGGAGCATCTGCCCAAGCGGGCTTGCCGCCGGAGTATTCGACCGAGGTCGGCTGTCAGAACCTATATATATATATATATATATATTTCTTAATGTGGAGCACTTGCTTGGAATGCTTGATTTGTGGATGCCTTTACGTGTGCAGGACCTTTGCCAACCTGAAGCCAAGCCTGGAGCTGCCTGCCGACGGGCTGCACTGCGAGTCTGCGAGTATCAGGACTCAGGACCATGCAGTTCGACTGGCGCTTGCAGGTCTACCAGCCAGTGTCAATCCAGAGGCCCGAGCAAGCCGCCCATGGGTCCCGATGTTAGGCTGCCACTCATGGAGATTGAATGTCACGCGCCTCACTTGCACAGGCAGGATCCGGACCTTTACCCTCGAGAACTGCTGCATCCTTAAGAGAGCACGGAAAGAGCCACACTGCCACCCGTTCCACCGGTGTGCCAGTTGCCAGCGGACTCAGCAACGCGCCAAGTGTGCTGGCCCAAGCTTTCAGCATGCATGACATGCTGGAAGCCGGAAAGTCAGGCTTTCATTAGCCTGCCCCGTGGAGAAGCAAGACTTTTGCCGGCTGCAAAAATTGGCAGCTTATACACTATTATCTCTTTGTTTCTCCCTCTATTCCTGACTTCGTGTCGGTGGGAGTGCGAATCCGAACGTCTGCAGTTGAGGGTGGCGTCGTCAGCTTTCCCTGCTGCGCGTTCACGGTTTGAATTGGTGTGGAACTTGGTGCTCACGGGGCAGGACATGGTATACCCTTGAGACTTGCGTGGTATGTCGAGGTTGCACAGCTGCCAGCAGACTGGCCTGCAGGTAGGTCTCTTGAGACATACATTCGGCCTCCAGCTTGACTCATTGCTTCCGGCAGGAGGTGCTTCGCACCAGTCAGAACTTCCGATGCTGCCCCCGCATCTACCGAAGTTGCTGCAAACAAGCCTTGGCCTGATTTCAGTGAGCACAGCTTCAACCTTTCTTCTCCACAAGCATGCCAGGCCCGCAGCGAGATGCTACGCATGCGCAAGCCCAAAGTGGGTGGAGGCTCTTCACATGTGTCGGCAAACATGCCATGCGGCGAAGACTTTGCCCCGAGACCAGTGATGCATCAGGCCTGTCAGATCAATGGCCTGGCTCTGAGAGTTCCATTGCGAACGTACTCCCACTCACTGCCTGGTCAGGTGCCTTGAGCCCCTATCAGTCCGGGCTTGCCAACTTTTCGAAAGTGATGTCAGGCAACACCTTATCCGCCCTCGGTCGGGCCCGTCAAGGTGGGACGTGCACTGGATGTTCATGCCATGTGGCATTGGCAAGCCTAGAAGAGAGCAACTGTTTTTGGGTTTTGCTGCGTCCAGCAACTGATTGCACAATAGTAGCTCTACTTTCCCCCCGCTGTCGGGTGGAGATGTGTGAGCAATTGCCTGCGTAAATTGCAAACTCCCGAAGGGCACGCAGCCGAACGATGTCCACACGCGGCACACTGCAACAGTGTCACACCACAGCATACCATCTTAGTGGCAAAGCGATGTTGTTCACGGGCTCAACATTGCAAGCTACGCCGCTTTGGTGACAGTGTTACATGAACTTCCCACCTGTACGGCACCCTTCGCATAATATTATGCCTCAGTAGCCCAATGCTACCACGAGCCTGAGTGTGGCCTCCAGTATGTGGAGAATGCACGATAGCCTACGCGCCTGCGTTTCAGGCATCTTGCGCTTCTTCAGCGCAAGGCACTGCTAGAAATCACAAGATATAGCGAAAATGCAACGGAGCGTTGATGTGTTGCCTCGAGGCCAGCATGCGAACTACAGAGCTGCTGCTGGTCTGGAGGAGCACTCGATTAACGACCTGGTCCTAGTAACTAGTAACGATGGACGAGACCGACCAACCAAGCATCAATCAGCACATCTTCTTTGCAGAGATTCTCATGTGCATAGCGCAGGCAAGACCATTTTTTACAGCAAGACTGTCCTTTTGTTTAGGACAGGCCTGTCTGCTGTCCCCACAAGGGAAGCATCCGAAGCCTCATGGAAGGACGACTTGCTGCTCCGACGTGCCTACGATGTGCAGATCCTACACCGAATCAGCATGACCAGGGCTGTCTGAGCGCAGGGATTTCTGCCATCGAGCGACTCAGGTTTACCGGCAACAACAGCTCGACCTGCTACATCCGGAAGTGTGAGGGGTCATCCCTTAGCACTTAGCACTGCTGAGGCATCTGAGAAAGGCCCTGAAAGCCTCACTGAGCGGCATCCCAGCAGATACAGCTGTGCAGATGCTTCCGTTTGATTGCATGGCTTGGCTTGTGCGACTGACGTGCATTAACTATCGAGTTACCTGCTGGTGCATCTTGTACAGGCATCAGTTAGCTTCCATCGGTGATGCTCGGCAAAGCAGTGCGCGTACCGCTCATGGCGTGAGCCACATACACTGCATATCACTGCATGCAAGGTTGGGCCGCTTGAGAGAAACCAGTTCAAGTCTGGTTCAAGTATCGGTTTCTGTGAATGCAACACCATGCCTTCTGATTAAACCTTTGCAGACACCAGCCTGGCAACCAAAGCGGATGAGGTGGAGCGATTTGACCCGAGAAGTTCGTACAAGCAGCACCGAGCGCAAAAGAGCAGTTCTAGACGGAGAAGCTGCTAAGTCACACTGGCAACACTCAAAAAACAACCTGCTGCAGTGTAGTCCGTTGCGCCGCACGAGTGTCCATCGGCAGTGCGAAAGCAGCAATGATCAGGCAACACCGGCAGAAGCGAAGAATTAGGTCCGGGTTACCTTGTGCTTGCCGCAGGCTCTATCCACATGCTCCTGGCTTAGGTTGCCCATCCAAGATCCTGCCATGTGAAGCACTGCAAAGATGGCACATGGACCCGAGGCAGACAAGTTGCAGAAAGACATCCAGGTCCGGTCTTGCTGAACGTCAGATTGGACTTGTTGCCATGCTGGACGTCCAGCGAGCTTAAAGGATGAACATGCCTTAGGAATTCTCAGAAGCATCGTGGTAGGGAAAGTGCGCAACAATGGCAGAGCTTGAATCCCAAGTACTGCCGTCGTTCGGAAGTCCGCGTGCACCGACACCTGCGTAATTGACACGGTAAAGGGATTCCGGCCTAAATATTCGCGAAGGTGGCCACGACATCAACGTGTAAGGCAGCGCAACTGAGGCAGTATGCAGATGCATCTTATCAAAACGGGCGCTTTGCTAACAAAACCGGAAGTCTTCGAACAGCCCACGCCCGGCGGCTCGAACCTGCGAGGCGAGAAGGGCAAAACACCACACGAGTTGTCGTGCTTCCTTCCTGCTGAACACAACTTCACGCCCGACGAAAAGTCACCCGACCCAGTGACCTGCAATCAGCCATCCAAACCAGTGGCAACCGGAAATCCAGGAGCTTCGAGAACAGTTGGAGCTGCGGCAACAGCAGAACGAGGAGCTGCGGAGCAACTCTGCAAAAGCCGGGATGGGTGTCCATGCCTGCAAGCTGCATGGCTTTCGCTTCGTTTTGGCCTGCGCTGGGCTGGGTGGGTCATGTTAGCCATGACTTGACACTGCTCGTGCTATCCGGCTTTGAAAGTTTGAAAGGAGGACATGGGTTGGAAGCATAGCTTCTGACAGAGGGTCTATGGATCAACAGCTGAGTCACAAACTTGTCACTGAAAGAGCCTGAAGTTGCCATTTCCGGCTGAGGCCGCTTAAGGGAGGCGGCGGTCCAGATTGGTGACTTGTACGATCAAGTACACCTCGCGGAGCAGGCCCGGGCAGTTCATGGACGTGGCTGCGGAGTCCTTGACATTGAAGCCTGTCGCACAGGGCATCGCATGCTCGCGCACGCCTGCTCCGCGCATTGCTTTGCACGCACCCACGGAGCGAACCGCAACACGCGCGCAGCGCAGGCACGCACAACATTGTTACAAGCTGTGGATTCACGGTGCCATGAAGACTCGTGCGACACTCTACAACTGCTTATTGCATACTGCTTTCAGCATTCTTTCCTAGAGTTCCCTCACGTGTACGATGTCGTGCTTCATCCAAGCTTGGATGTTACAATTCCGCCCCCCTCCTAAATGAATGCTCAGCAAAGAACCTATCATGACTCGACTGGGAGTTTTTGTTGACCGCAGCTGCGTGTTTGGAGGAGGCTTTTGCGATCTGCAAACATCTTGAGGGCGTCATTTGGACTCTGCCCCTGCCTCCGATCCTACCCCAGCCATTGGTCTCAACTGTTGAGGGCAACTGGCCCCGGCATCAAGTCTGTGGCTTCAGTGGCTTCGGCAGTTCGTTTGTCATGCGCTTTCCAGAAGAGGGTGACGCAATGTGATATTGACACCTTGGTGGAGTTTTTGACAGGAGCAGGATCAGCTTTCGACCGAGCAGCGGGCTTGCTCGCAATTCCCGGTGGCATTGGAAAGCGACAGATGCATGAAAGAAATCTTTGTATTCCCGACTTAGGCGAAGGCAAGCAGAAGATGAGGCAGAGCATTTTCTTTTTGGAGAAGCTGAGGCCTTCACGGCACCCCGGAAGCACACCAGAAGCAGCTTGATAGAGTCAGACAGTGTCACCCAGTGTGTGCCCGACCGAGGTCAGAACAGAAATGATTCGAAAGCTGGCCATTGGCAAGCAGGTTGCTTTGCTGCCCCCGCTGAATATTGCTGTTTTGGCATTGCCTGATCCCGAAACATTGGTGGCTTCTTCCCGGACGGCTATCACTATGCACATGCTCGGAGTTATTATATTGTCAATGTGCTTGCTAGGCTAGACATCGTAGGGCCTGCATGATGAATCCCGGTATTTTGACATAACAAGCGGTAGCACCGCAGAAAAGGGCACGCAACTTGAGGTCGTCGGTGCCGCATGTTAGGGCCAGGGCAGGGCCTGAACGATGCTCCAGAATAGCAGCATGACGCCGCATGCCGATCTCCTACTACGCCGTGGGCTCTTGGGACGATTGGGCCGAATTTCACCTGCTCTGTTTGGACGAGGCCTTTTCATTGCGGAAGGGGCGGGTGGTTTTAGGCGAATCTCCTCCGCTGCTAGAGTCAAGAGACATGTGCCAAAGTAGATCTAGGCTTTGAAACTCATGGTCTGCTGGTACCTCGAGGACGTGTCCAGGTGAAAGATGGTGAAAGCTTTACGGGTTTGCTGTCACTGTTTCCTGTGATGCGCGTACTGTTGGCACTAGTTGGCACTGGCTAAATCTGAGATAACCGCAGATGAAACTCAGCTTCATGTTTGCATTCCATGTATCAAGGCCCATCGAAATAGGAACACTTGCGCAGGCCACTGGTCTTTATGGTGCGAAGCTTTGAATGCATATGCTTTTAACGATGGTGCAGTTGCGGTTATGCGGCGAAGCAATGTGGACGGCCCGTTGTAGTGCTACTAAGATGTACGGAGGATTCCTGTCACTCTTGACTTGCTCATCCCAGGACCATACCGGTTCGGAAGGCTCCTGGTGTGGAGGAATTTCAGATCGTGGAAAACAAAAGCTGGGCGCGGCGCTTCTTCCCGGTAGACGGAGGCGAGAGTCACGAACAGCATGGCAGGCGACAGATGCACAGGCAGAAACGAGATGAGAGCGAGCTGTGCATCAGGCCAGTCGATTGCGGGCCCGGAAGAACGTCATGGAGCCAACTGGCGGGCTGAGATACCCTGTCGCTGTCGTGATCTGCATGCGAGAGTGCTCAGTTGAAGCACATGCATCATGCATGTGTAGAGTAGGGGTTGTGCGCGCAAACTGCCGCACACGTTTCGAAGGTTTTGTGGGATCCTGTGGGGCAGCGCGACGTCAAGCCACTGGGGTCTGAAAGTCGTGATTGTAGGCATCAGTCATCCGGCGTCGGCCGGGCAGTGCAACAGCATGTAGCGCATCAGATCGGAGGTGGCAGTTCGTCGATTATTCTGGAAAGCTTTTGGGACGCCCAGTGGTCAGCCGTAAGTCCGCCACGGCGACGTTTTTCCTTGTGGGCCACGTTGATGAACTGTTGAAGTGTTCCTGCTGACCTGCGGTGTGCATGGAGCTTCATCCACTTTCGTGTATTCTGCCCACTTATGCTGTGTGTGGGTGGGGGTGTGTGTGTATGTGTGTTTCGAGGCTCCTGGAATGATTGGCAAGACTTTCTGGAGCTGCGGCCGCGCATGAGGCCGCGCAGACAGGCACTGGCAGCTTTCGGTGGACAGCGAGATGCTCAACAGCGGGAAGACGTGCGTGCTTTTGCCGAATTGTTCCGTCTAAATGCTGCTGACTAGTCAACAGACACAGAGGTGGCAGAGCATGTGTATGAATATGAATGAACGGTGAATTAATGAATTATGTCAGAGTGCACATGAGTAAGGATGCGTACGTACAAAATGACGTTGCATACATAGAACTACATAGACACATCTACCGACCGACCGATGTACCTACCTGCCTACCTCAGCTGTCTATCCACCTGCTGTAAACGCTCATATATTTTGTATGTGCATACGTACATGCATATACATACATATATATATATATATTTATTTATTTATTTATTTGTTTATTTATTTATATGTATGTGTGCGTGTATGTATGTATGTCTGCATGCATGTATGAAGATGTATGTTTGCATGTCTGTATGTATGCATGGATGTATGCATGCTGCATGTAGCATGCATGCATACATATGTCCATGTGTTTTTTGTGTCGTCAACCCTGGCACTGCACACTTGTTCAGGCAAGCACTTGTATAGTTTAGTATTATAGTAAGAATAGTAGTAATAGTAATACCCATAATACTAGTAATCGTACTAGTAATAATACTGGGAATAGGACGAGGACTAGGAGTAAGAATAGTAATAGTAATTATAGTAGTCCAGTATCCTATAGAGAAGTAAAGTATAGTATTGGTTACTAAAGTATGGTACTGCGCAGTATAACGCTATAGTATAGTGCAGTATAGTATAGCATAGCATGGTATAGCGTAGTATACCCTAGCACAACTCGCACAGCACTTGTTGAGCAAAAGGACAGAGAACACAAGCTTCTGACGTGAACTGGAAAGATACAGTGTTAGGTTGAACCCAGACTATGTTCTAGATGTTACTGGTTACACCGTTACGCCCCACAGCTACAATTGAGAAACCAAACCAACCGGAAGCTTCACGCCCTGGGGTCTAAGGAGGGTTTAATTGCAATTGGACGAAGTCTTGGATGTTAACAGCTCGGGATTAAATTTGTTTTCCAGCTTTCCATGTTTTGGCTGTTTATTTTCCAGTTTGACAGTTTGATTAGTGCTCTTCCATACAATAGGAAATCTTGAATATGTTGTATGGAAGGGGCTTCGTTTCCAACGTCCAATTTCCCATTTTCCTTCCTACTCTTGAAAGGGGTGCCTCGTCTGAGTTTGACCGGTTACATTCAACCTATGTCTTGGATGTATGTTTACGAACTGAGCCAAGGGCGTCAGTGTCCAATTATGATTGTTTGCAATTTCCAATGTTCCAAATTCCCAGGACAAAAATTAGTAGTCTTTGCAAACCACATGCTTTTGTCTTTCCATGTCCCAAATTCCAGTTTTTCAACTTAATTAACGTTTTGTCCATTCCTGTAACGATAGCGTGTAACCGTTGGCTGGGATTCAATGGGGAAACTTGTACTTCAAAAGTTAAAAACAAGAACACAAAGAGCACAACTTTTCCGGACCGTCAGACTCAAAAATCATCAAATGTTTAAAAGCACAGGTGCCTTGAATAAGTCTTTGACGTAGATAGTTTTGGATCTTCGCAACGGGATCCAAAGTGCATGAGGTTCCCCCAGTAGCTGTCTTTCATCATATGCGGGACGTATGACACGTTTCAAATCGTTGTCCTTCACTGCTCGATGCGATCGCACGTGCCCTGAAGATTTCTCTGGCCAGAGAGCATTATTGGAGTGGATTGTTGAAACTGCTTCCAGAGTGCACGAGGCTTTGCCGGTGGCTGTCCTTCATCATGTGTGGGGCACATAAAATTCTCTTCCAGCAGATGTGTTCGTAACCAAAACCAAAAACCAAACGAACCAAAGAAACAAGAGTCTGGACTAGTGTGGAAATCTTTGTGTTTTTTGGTTCGTTTGGTTCCGGGCCTCTGCTGTTCCGTCTGCCCCCACCGTCGCTGTGAAAGCTCGTTGACAGAAGGAACTTGTACGTGGGATGGAAACTGATGGTTTGTACCTGTTCGAGATGGTCGTTTATACAGCGGCAGGGCTAGTTTGGGGACTTGTTTCTTTCCGTAAACAGTTTTTTCTGCATGCTTTCGACACGCGAGTGTATGTACTAGGCTCCTCGTGTTGACGTCTGTGTTTTAAAACACGGCTTGTGCTTTAAAACATAATGTACATACATACGCACCTCCATGCCTACACACCCGTACATACATCACACGTTGCTTAAATACCTACCTACCTACCTACCTACCTACCTACATACATACATACATACGTAAACTCATATATTTACATACATTCCTACCATGCCATACATACCATACCATGCATCACATGCAGCACAATACTACACATATACATGTGGATGTCTGTTTATGTCTGTTTTGTTTTGATTACTGGTAACCTCGTAGTTATTACATGCCGTGCACCCAGGCAAGGATCAAGTACACGGAGGCCGCATTCCTGTTCAAGGTCTTGGTTCTGTGGAACTGCAGGCCGACGTGTGAGGTAGACGTATGTTTTCTGGTAAGTCTAGCTAATGCAAATGTAATGTTTGCTGCGAGTACATGCCAGGTTGCGCAGGGGCGTGACTGGGAACGACGGTTCTATCCTGCTGATGCATCCACGAATGCACGAGTTCTCGGACCCTCATGCCCTCCACATGGCATGAATTGGCGAATTCCAGTTCCCAGCCGTCACTTGGCAATTTGGTGTCTCGCATGTAAAATGGAGATGTTCGTCAAGTGTTAGAAGCAGCAGCAGAAGCATGATCACTCAATGCTCAAGGAGGCGATTGGGTGAAGGTTACCCGAAGCAACAATCCGGGAACGAAATAGCTCTGGAAGGCTTAGCAGCGTCAAAGTTGCAGACGGCTACAATCGCTAGCTGGGTCACCATTCGTGCCAACGGTTTTGCAGGTGGTTAACCACAGACACCCCCAAGACATCTTGCCTGGGCTGATGAAGTCTGTAGTAGCATGTTGGACGAGCCAACGTATCTGGCTTTGTTCATGCAAGACGAGGAGTGATGTTCGAGGCTTATTCGGCGGTGCTGCATACAAAATCGCGCAAAGATATCCTCAGCGAGCGGTGGGGGCTGCCTCCCATCTGGGCAGCCGTGTCGGGGTTCGTAACAGTCTCGGAGGGGCTGGAAATTCGATTTGTGGCTTACCCCGAGGCCACCGTGAAGAATCCGGTTTAACGGCCCGTAGCTATCTGCAGCCTTTGCGGACCGACTAATACACATGGACCTGGAGCAGATTTTGTTATGCAAGGGCGCCGAAACCACCAGGACCTGGAGAGCAGACAAAAAGCGAAACGAAAAGAGCTCATCATGCAATGCTGCAAACAAGAGATGCAGGACAAACTGCCAAGTCCATGTTCGCCTAGGGAGAGGGAAACGGAACAATGCAGACCTCGAAGTTCGCCTCGCATGTCTATGCAACACGGGTTCGGAGACCACGCACAGGTCTCATTCCCCACGAGCATTCCCTAGCCAGAACAGGGAACGCTATCAGCACAGGCTGCTGGTGGCTGAACATTACATGGTGCTGCAACGCCGGGGGTTCGGGCGGCTTGGTTGCACAAGCTATCCCGGCAGCTTTTCATGCTTGCTTCAGGCAGAGCCAAACCTGTGCACGGTCTCGAGGTGCTCTTTCTTGGACCTTCTTGGACCAAAGCGCCAACGAAATCGATGTTACGCAACAAGCCGTCCTGCGCTTGGGCTTTAGTTCGTGACATCTTCAGCCTCAGATCAGCATCATGATAACCCTAAGCATGGCAACTCCTGAAGCGCTGCATGTTTTCAGAGCTCACGCGCTTGCTCAGCATTCGGCTCCAGGCAACCTGAGCTAGGATTACTAGGTGCAGGTAGCGCAGTCTTCACATCCACACCTAAACTGGGATCTGGGTGTGTCTGTGTGTGTGACTGTGGGGACAGGCGGCTCCGAGCAGTTCTTAAAGCCGGCATGTGATCTTGAGACGCACCACGCCTTTCGCATTATTGAGCTGAAGTCCGAGTCCGTGCCATGAAGCTGATCAGCGACATTTTCCACAACCATTGCGGAGGAGACGGGAAGGTAAGCCCCTCCACTTTGAGGCAGGGAGAGTGCATGTATTTCTCATTCAAACGCAGGTGCGAAGCGCTGTAAAGTAGCAGCTGAAATTTGAGATCAAAATGCTGCCAAGTCACAGATCTCTATTCGCGCACGTACAGTCGCTCAGTACCAACGCTCCGCGCTTGTGACACTGCACGAATTAGAAGTGCGCGGGGCAACGCCAGGTAGAAATGCCGCAGGCTGCTTGAAGCGTTCTGCAACTGTCTGGGTCCTGACTGAGGATCTAAATCATAAAACCCCGGCACTGCCACACACATTCCCAAGTGGCTGCTTGAGTCTGCTTGAGTGCGTGGATGTCAGGGAGCTTCTTGTGACCTTGGGCGATCACAACCTGGGTATTTGGGACACATCAGATGTCGACACTATTCTTGCCCGTTGGAGCGACAAAAGCGCCATCGATTTTGACGAATTTGTTAGCCACCTTGTCGCAATGGCATCGAAGTCATGGGGCATCGCCTCCCTCTCAAAAGGTCAGACACTGCTTGGATGTAAGGTTGGGTGTATCAAGATTGTGCTTTACTCTCGCCTCGGGATCATTCTGAAGAGTGCCACCGCAGTCCGCGTCATCTGACGATCAACTTCGACGTGAGACTTTCCTGCATGAGTAGTCAGTGAGTACTGTTTAGTTTGTCTGCTCCTTGTTCGCAGGGTCCGTTTGTAGACCATCCAGGCTGCAAGATCCTACACAGCATGTTGTTTGCGAAATTAACGAAGCATATCGTTGCGATCTTCCGCTCGGCTTAGGAACAAGACGCTAGTGATGAGGGACAAGACCGCAGGCAAGTCTGTTGAAGTGGTCATCAACGAGGCGGCATGGCTACGAAGAGAAAAAGCAAAGCTTCAGCCGCACTGTTCTCCAGGTGTCCGTTGATTGAAATGCCTGTGCAGGTCCTGGCGGAGACTTGCTGGGGTCGCTTTGAAGACGACCGATGGATCCTCGTGTCTGACCAGCAGCTCGGCAGCCTGAGAATTTCGTGTTGCGGACAGGATATTCACGAAAGCTCTCTTTGGAGCTTGCGAGAGTTGTCGTTTACAAACCTTCTTCCTCTCTAGTGTTCAGGTGGGTCAACAGGCGACTCCGGGCCGTAGCTGGTATGAAAATCAACTAAACGGGCTGCGGTGGGAAGTGTCAAGAATTCCAAGGCACTGCTTGCCATAATGTGAGAGTGTTTACGTTTATGAGCGGATGCGCGTAGCCGAGATCTCAAGTTACTTCGGGGGCCTGTTGTTATCTTCTGTGTGTTCAAGCCAGCAGGTGGATTCCCAGCCTGCGTAGCCCCAACCCCAGACTCTGGGGAGTGCCTGGTGCCCTCAAGGCCTTCCTCGCTTCGCCCAGAAACTTCAGCTGGTGAGAGTGAGGGCCTCGCCGCCCGGCCGCTGTATGTTTTTTTGCTTGCTGCCCCTCAAACAAGCAACGCACTGGACAAGCAGCTTATCATGTAGCGACTGGGAAACGGCCGAGCCACCTTTCAGGTCAGCTATGCGGAGTTTCTGGAGAAGACGATGCCCGGAAGCGCCGCTCGAAAAGACCGGCAGAAACTGAAAGGCTGTGCGGCTGTCCTTCGAACACAAATTCACAGACAGTTCTTCACCTGCTTCGCTACTCTGCTAGTTCTATGATTACGCCTTCGTCTTGCAGAAAGCCTATCTGCAATGGTCTGTCAGGCGCCTTTACACTGCCGGGTCATCCGGGAGAAAGGATGGAGCACTCTCACAAGAAGTTGTGCAAGCAGCTGATTTACCCAGCCCTTTGGCAATGAATTTGGCATAGTTTAGTGTAGTCAATGTAGACGTTGGCTGTTGGCTGCATGGCAGCCCAAATTCAGTGGACAAAGGACGGGTCTCCAGTTCAAGTGGTGCACGCCTTCTTTCGTTTGCTGGTCGAGCTGAAGCGATCGAAGCGGTGACTCTGCGCAGAATGGCCTTGCTTGCGGTTGAAGCTGCTGCCAAGGGTGCGTCTGTGAAGGTCCGCACCTACAACCTGTTAGTTGTTGTGCGTCCCCCCTGCCTTCGACTTTGCGCTTGATGCTTCTGCTACTGTACGACTAGCTACTGACTACCAGTAGCTGCATTTTTCTTGCTTCAGGGTTGCAGTTACGGCTCACGGGCGAAAAGCTGTATGACACAAAGAAAGAAGAGAAGCCGACAAAAAAACACTGGCACACATGAGTGTGCGAACAACGCCGGGAGCGGGACAGAATTGAAGCCTAGATTCACAGAAAGAGCGACATTCGATGTCAGCACAGTGAACACTCCCCTGACTAAGAGACCATGCTCCTTAGCCTCTTCTTAGATGTCTTTGTTTCAGCCTGTTCGAGTGCAGTCATCTTGTCGTGTTCTTTGCTGACATCATGTCCATCAACGGCCCAATACGTGTCAGGTGTCGGCATGTGCGACGGCGAAAATATTTGAAATAAAGTCTCGCGCTGCTTCCGTCGTCAACTTCAGCTTCGATCAATTCAAGGAGCCATCCAACGTGATGCTGAAGGAGGGTCACATGAAGCTTGCAAACGATGGGGGCAGCTGCTCTGCAACTCAACTGCGAACTGCATTGGAAGCACTGCCCGTTGCGACGATGAACCACCAAATGCTGCAAGACATTGTAAGCAGCAGCATTTGGATCCCACAAGCTGGAAAAACACAGTGTCCTGACGACCACCAGGAGAACAAGATTACCGGTCCACAGATGTTTCCGTGCATTCGCTCTGCCGGTAGCTTGATGTGCCAACCTGCTTGCCTTTAGGGGCCGTGTTTCGCTTCGTTCATCTCAGTCATGTTTGCCGTGTGGACATCCTGCTCTCTGGTTTCAGTCGCCTGGTCTAAAAAGGATGTGGCCCGAGGCTGGTTCGATCCGGTGAGGAATCTTCTGTCATGAACGTGGGATGGGAAGCTGGGGGGAGGGGAATGGAGGGGAAGGGTGGGTTCAGCAGTTTAGAGTCTGGGGGTGCCGGCCAGAGACCGTGACTCCTAACATATCCGCGCACACACATACATACGTGATATTATATTATATATATATATCATATATATATATATACATATTGTATGTATGGCTGCTTGTATACATACATATGTATATATATATGTATATATATACATACATACATACATACATACATACATACATGTGTATATATACATACACATATGCATATGCAGACATTTTACTTATATTTATATCTGTATGTATCTGTAACTAACCATCCTTCCATCTACCTATCTATCTGTCCATCTATCTGTCCATCTATCTACCTATGTGTGTGCGTTTGTGTGCACGTGTGTGAGCGTTCGTGTGCGTGCCTGTGCGTGTCTGTTTATGAACTGTACAAGCGCGACGATAGTACACATAAGAATCTGTTGCTTGCTCGGAATTCGCAGTATGCACAAATACGTTGTGAATTCGCGGCGGTATTAATAGAACATCTGCCTGTAAATGACATTAAATGCAGCAGCTTGGGAGTCCTTGTTGTGTGCACGTGTTTGCTTGGGAATAGATCTGAATGGGGAATGCCAGAGCCCAAACATGCCCAAACCGCAGAACGTGAGTGAATTCAGCACTGAAGGGGCAGGCGTGAAAAGCACAAGGCCGACTTGAAAATCTTGATTGCCTTGTGCGAGTAAAACTCTAAAAAATCAAAAGCGTCAACACCCCTTCTTCCTAAAAGCTGGCCTGAATTGTTCGAGTGTGAGCGCCAAAACGCCGTGCCGAGTTGCGAGGGGCACAAGACATCAATGTAATTTCCTGAAAGACAGGATTGACTGTTTTAGGTTCTGTGATTCGAAAGTCGCCCTTGTCAACCACTTGAGATTCTAGCTGAGAGGTTGTAACTCAAACGATTCGGATGTGGCTGCTCGATGGACCATCGTTGCTCAGACACCTCGGTCGGCTTGTACTAGTTGTGAAAGTCGAAAGCATGCTTTCATTCCGGTCCCTCGCCCCCCAGTGCGCAAAGCCTTCTGCGAGATGCGAGCGATGTCGATAATCACTGCTTCGTTGACATGCTCAACTTGTCACCAGACTTCGTTGGCTTTTCAACCACAACACCCTGGCTGAGACATCTGACTCCTGACTGCAGCCTGACATGCTCTTCCGTGTGATCGGCGATTGAGGTCCTTCTCTTTAATTTTTCGATCCTTCGGCGAGGCGGAAGCTCCTCCTGTCACTTGAGGGAATGAAGGTTGTTCGAGAGCACTTGTACTGGTGGTGGCTTTCGCTGTACAGGACCTGGAGCTCGTCGCGAGTGAGCTGAATTCGTTCTGCGAAGGGAAGCACCCCATGTTTCCAGGACTGGCCGATCATATCAAGTTGTCACGACTGCCCCCGGATACATGTGCTCGCCTTACAGTTCTGGAAGGCTTTTGCATGGATGGAAGCGATGGAGAGCCAGACTATCGGTTCCATGTCACACACCCGGAGCGATATGGGAATTTCCATGTCGTGCCTTCGCCAGACTTCATTTCAGAAACTGGCTCCGGCTTCTCACCTGCTGTTTGTTTTTCTGTTTTTCTGAGGAAGACGAGGAGCTGCACCTGGTGTTGGGGACCATCGAGCAACCTGGAGAGGGGAGCTTCAAGGACTTCCATGAGTACTTTCACCCACATCGTGCCCAATCCACCCCTCCAAGCAGACTCCGTTGCAGGATGTCAAGGATCGAAGCCTCGCTTTCTTCCAGCAGCACGATTTGCCAGTTAAGAAAATTATATCGGGCACGTGCCATGCTCAGCGAAGCCGTCATCCGCATGTGCCGTGAACTCCGCATCGATTGCACTCATGGCGCATGCAGGTCTGCCGTGGTGGACTTTATCTGGGAGCTGTCGTCACAATGTGTGACAGCTGGCTTCAGAGACAACTTCCAGTTCTGGAAAGCGAAGAATCACAGCCAGGACCGACCATGCGAGGAGTGGCACCTGCTTGGTAATTATGACTGCGTCATTGAACCGTCTTCTGTTGATCAGGAAGGTGGCAAGTTTTTCCTTTTCGATGCCTCACGGAGTACACGGCGCCATGAGATGTTTTTCGATGATAACGTGCATTTCGATGACTTGAAGATCGTCCGTCCATTTAACAGGCCACATGCATGTATCATGTCCACCATGTCGAAACCCAATGCTGTAAGATGCTGTAGGTGTGCCTGCTGGCTGCGCAGCTCAAACTTGCACAAAGCTAACACCGCCTCTGCAGTTGCAGTCTCCTTGCCAGGCTTCGGCAGCGCAAGTCTTGGTGGGGGCTGCCACTGCTGCAAACCCATGTGTGCCGTGCCCGATAAGAATCGCCTGCTCCAGCAGCACACACGAGACATACTCTTATGCAGATCTGAAGATTCGCTCGAAGCTGGCCCGACACTGCGTTCAGGTGCAGGGCGGATGCTCTCACTGCCATCAACGACGACCTGTACTTTGTCGCAGAAGTTCAGAGGCCCGGGCTTGGGCTTACAGGAAAGCCAGATTTGAGGGCCGATGCCGAGCCTAACCTCCTAGCCTGCAGAGTCCCAGTCGCGAGAGTCCAAGTTAGTGAGTGGGCGGAAGGATGGAAGACAACTACGAGCACAAGCTTGCAGCAATGCAGCGCTGCAGTACCTGCCACTTGTCACATCTTAAGATCCAGAATAATGTTGGTTGAAATATATGAGGTAGTAAAGGACAGGAAGAATTTCAATAAGAAGAAAAGAAGACTTCAAGTAACAAGGAGTAAGCAGTGGCAATAGTCAAACAGCGGTAACAACCAATAGTAGCAGTTCTCATACGGCTACTAACAACGCTAACGACGGTAATGTCGATAATGATGCTGGTAGACCTGGGTACCGAAAACTGAGAAGACAAGTGAACTAACACTTTCTGTTTCGCTTCTCCCAAAGCCCAGGCTTGCAGCGATTGCCGAAAGGTGCGGAAAGCGTCTCAATCCCTCAGCTTCATCACAATGCGAAGCTTGGCTTGGTCACAGCCGCGTGCGCCCAACCCGCGAAAGAAGCAGCTCGCGCAAGGCCACCGTTTAAGTGTAGCCTATTTTGTTGCGAGCTGAGGAATTACGATGCATGGGAGGGCCTCCGAAAGGATGAAAGTGTTTTGCCGCTGACATCAGACGCTGATGCAGACTTCTTCTCGCCTATTGCCCGGGGTTCTGAAGGAACGAAGTGAAAGTAGGCTGAGTGATCGACTACGCAGTTGCAGAGGCTACTGCTGGCTGCTCTGTACTCCATATGGTGATTCAGGGCATAAATCCAACGGTCCACCAGACTTCCTGCATAAAGCGCTGACATGACACCATGTCCAGCCATCTGCCCACCCTTGCAGCCGATCCATCCCGTGTTCCACCGTATTCAAGCTGGGGAAATCCAGCTCAACTTGCAGGAAGTTCGTGGAAACTGTTTGATTGGCCAGCGCCTCTCGAGGGACGCATTGCCTCTATCGTAGATCGCGGTGTATCTTGTAGCATGGTGCCTTTTAAGTGAGTTCTGAGATAGGGAGAAACGATGTTGCTGGAACTAGTCGAGTCCATGAGCTGCACGTGTCTCAGAAGTCACGCTCCAAAAGTTTTTGCAGAATGAAGATGAGCTTTCAGTCACTGAGAGCCATCCTTTTCTCTTGACAAGCCGGTTCCCATACCAAGTCGATTCACACTGTTTTGCTGTGGGTTGATATCAGAGTTACTCAGCTGCTTGTTGGGTTCAGGGGTTTGCCGCAAGCCTCAATAATGCCCCACACCTGTATGGCAGTGCAAAGAGTTGTCGGGACAGCCAAGAAAACAAGAAACTCAGATCTGCTGGCACCGGCTGCGTGTACCAAGTTTTCACCCATGTGCGCACACATGCCTTTACAGATCGAACTCGAGATCCTTGAGCTTGGCCACTGCATGCCACTGCGAGGTTCCGTGGTGCCGGTTCGGGCTAGGGCCGGCTAGGGGCTATCTCGTGTTTTCATGCAAAAAAAACCTATCGCAAGCAAGACGACCCGTTGTGCACTCGGATCTCGTCGGCCTCGGCGTATTTAGTATGCCGTAATGGCAACAAGTGGATGAGCGCAAGCGCAGATCTTTGCGTCGGGTTCTGGGTTGTAAGATTGCGGAGTTGAAAAGACTGGAAGCAACTGCTAAGTTCCGCGGGCCAGGCAAAGTGAACCAGGGACCACCGCCGCAACGGCACACATGCACCGCCTCAACCAAGGCGAGGGCAGCAATCGAGCCAGAAGGGATCAAAGAGACGTCGGCTCCATTTTTGCAAAAAGTCCTTCTCCGAACCGCAAGACTTGTGAGGGTTACGGTTACATTGCCTCAGGCTCTTCTGTGGCGGATCCGTGGAGGTTCAGAGACTGGCGGCCGCTTGGCGGTTCAAGAAAGCCAGGGGTCTTCCAGATAGGCAAGGGGCAAGGCCAGCAGGAGTTGAAAAAAGCTGAGAGGAGAAAGAGAAGCATTCCCGTACTTCTTGCTGAAGCTCGGCTGGAGGGCAGCCGGAGCAGCCGTTTGAAACCATTCGTCTCATGATCGCACGAGCCAAAACGTCATGCCTGCTCCAGAAGTACTTGCAAGCTATGTGCCTCACCAACTGCCGGAATCAGCCAGACGGACAACAAGTATGCAGAGCATGGCATCCAGCATCCTGACCGGGCGCACTCATTTAAATTTATGGATCACCGGATCCATAGTGAGCCATTGGCCGCGCGTCGGCATGGGCAAGAAGGCTGGACCGCGGGGCCAAAGCGTTGCAGCGGCCAGGGGTTGCTATCCAAATGCCCTCACAAGGGTGCAATTGCTATTCCACGGTCACAATGCCATTGTGGTGTGAATGCTGCAGGCCCTCAAGAGGCAGGGAAGCAGCAAGGCCGCTTGCTCGGTTCACGAGTCAAGCAAGGAGATCATGCAAGGTCTTGTTCTGCACAGCATGGCAGTTGGCTGAGGCCCAAGCCCCAACACCGAGTAGCCAAGCGAGCAAGGCAACTCGGCCGGAGTTTCGAGTTGATGCCTCGCAGCATCTCGTAACCTCGAGGAAGTTAGCATCGACGACTTGCTCAGCGACTTAAGCCCGACCAGCAGCAAAGCAGCCCCTTGTCCTTGTCTCGCCTTGAATTTTGACCCGTTCTCTTTGTGAGCTGCGCCTCTCTAAGTCTTCGGGCAAGAAAGCCTCGAAGAAGAGAGCCGCGGAGGAAATGGTGGAAGCTTTAGAGCCCAGTTTCGGAGTCTCGGAGAGTCGGAGTCTCGGAGTCGGCCTCTGCTCTCGGAGGAGCGCCGCAAGGCCGAGGCCGCCTTGCGTCTCGCCGAGCTGCAGCGCCAGGAGGAGCAGAGGGCCTTTTTTAATCTCACGCAGGCATAACAAAGGAAAAGGAGCACTCACAAGAAATGCATGCAAATTCGAGAAGCTCGGTATTCTTTGAAGCTTTTGGGTCTTGGAGGCGGCCGGAAGAGAAGGCTGGATATCGATCTCCACCAGTACGGTTTGAAGCTCTACTCCTGCTGTCATGTGCTGAGCTCTGGCCTTGAGGAGGATGCTGAACAGCAGCTGAAAAGCACCCTGGCTTTACAGGCCGCCGGAAAATGCTGACAGCTTGCACTCGAATTTGCTGAGTACCCGGCAGCTCGAATTTAGACAACCGCTGAAGCGTGTCGACACATTTCACTTGGGGGGTCCATGAGGTACAGGTGTGCACAACAAGCAATCCTTGCCTTGTAGGTTGAGCTCTATTGTTCATTTAGTCTCTTGGACTGACTGCGCATAGGAGCAGCTTCTCCAGCGCGCAATGCGGGCAGCCAACTCGGCCAGTTCGTCCGTTGCCGCAGGTCACCGGCTTGCTCCTAGGGGTTTGCAGAGCGCAGTTCCGCGGAGTTGGTTCAGGTGTCGTTTGTAGAGACGCCAAGACTGCCTTGAGAGGCTTTCGACATTCCAGTGTTGTGCAAGCAGATGGCAGCCCCTCCGACGCTATGGCGATGGGCGTCCTGTAAACGAGTCTAAATTGTAAGCCACACATCCATGCAACGTTGCTAATCAAGGCCTGCTGTGCTTTGGCACGTCTGGACGGGGCCAGTGCCATGTGCCGATGGATCTGGGGCTTGTGCAAGCAGTGGCTGCTGGCAACTTGGCACCATGCTGTCCATGCATGCCATGCCTGAAATTAGTACCCTCGCTGACCACGGAGGGGCTTCGACTTGAAATAACTTGAACTGTGGCCTAGGCAACCTGCACAGCTGTGCGGTGCAAGCCGATGGAATGCTCCAGTGCTTTGGAGATGACAGACTCTTGGCTGCTGCATCCACACACGATGAACCTCTGTCAGCTGTCAGCAACCTAGTGTCAAGGTCAGCTCTCAACCTTGGCTCAGACAGACAGCCCTTCTGAGTTTGTGGTTGTGTTTGTGTTCGTGTGTGTGTATGTGTCTGTGCGTGTGTGTTTGTTTGTTTGTTTGTTTGTTTGTTTGTTTGTGGGTTTCTCTGTGTGTGTGTGTTGTGTTTGTGGTGGCTTCTGAAGGAATCGGAACGGCAGAAAAGCTTGATAAAACACAAGCCACAACCCACGTGTATGGCGCTGCAGGCTTCAATCAATGCAGAGTTCCTTCGACACTTGGCTCCGCCGCACATGTGGCGGCAGGATTTGGTCACACTTGTGTCATCGACCATCAAGGCCGGGCGACCACGACACTGCAACGGGGGCAACGAAGCAACGAGGTTTTGCCGTAACAGGAACAGGTTGTCCGAAACCGGAACTGGCAACAGGAATGACGCCTGAGACCGTGACAGAAGCCGCCTCGTTCCCGCAAGACGTTCAGCACAGCGTATGGTAACAGAAACCACGTCCTGCGGACCCTCCTGTCCGATCGTGACTGTTGTGTCGGCTCCTAAACTCAGGGACCGCTTTTCCGTCCACGAATTCTAAGGATTCAGACCTTGTTCAATCTTGTCGCAGGCTAGACATTCCATGTCTATTGCGGAACCGGGCTTCGATGAAGCTTGCTGTAGAAGTAGAAGCTTCTGACATTTGCTTTCAAACAGCGGCACTACCTACTGCCATTCGCTATTGCCACCGGTGCTGGCAGCGCTGGGCTTTAGGGTTTAGGGGTTTAGGGACTTCACTTTCCTGACAGGAAAATACACACATATGAAGACAAATGAAGCTATCTGCCACGAGTTCAATCTTTCATGCATCACGTGGAACCTATGAAACTTCAGCGAATGCACATGCCCTTACGACAATCAGCCTGCCGGCTTGTCCGTCAGCTTTTGCACGCATGTGAGAAACACGCGTAAGATTGGTTACGTGTACCCGCTTATCTATGTAGCAGCACACGCTTTGTGTGTGTGTGTGTCCCAATGCATCGATTTTGACTTTATGTCCTATTTATTTGAGGCCTGCCAGTGGGTGTCCGGTTTTCGGTCCTCGACTGTGCGAGCATAAAAGCCTCCTGCGCGCACCTCGCTGGTTTCCGTTGGCAGTTCCCGTGCCGGTCGTCTTCCTGTTACGCCGGCCCACGGGTTGCTGCTACCACGGCCGCGGGTTTCGGTTACAGTGTGCAGGAGCGTTTTCCGTTACTCCCAAAACCGGTTCCCGTTACTCCCCGCACCCACGAAGCAACACTTCTATGCAGGCCAGCTCCATTGCTTCGGCGACAATTATTCCGGCCAGTGCACTGTCCCAGAAGGACTGGGCCATTGTCAGGCGGTGGCAGCAGGCTTCCGGCACACCTGCGTTCTTACCGAAGACTGCTCCCTCGTCTGCTTCGGTGACAACGGACCCTCGGCTTGCATGTTAGCAACTTCTTCGTGGCTCGAGATCCACGACAAGTCCTGCATGTGGCAGGCAGCCAGTCTCGCAGATGATATCGTTTTCGGACACCACAAAACTTAAAACGGACGGCGGGGCCAAGAAAGCGCTTTCCATGCCAATGTGCTTGTGCTGAGTGGGTCGGATAATCATGACGCGCTTGCTTCTCCCATGGGGCCATCTGTTACATCACATGAACCTCACACATGCAGATGCGAGGTGCAGAAAGGTCGTGTGCATATTGTGCATGACAGTACCGACCCAACAATCTTGCACGAGTCAACCTGACGACATGTGTCAACACGATGTCTGTAGATCCATGAACCACAGTAACTTCGTTCATCTCAGGATGTCAGCCTTCAGTATCTCTCATGAACCTTGAAGATCCTCCCGACTTTGCAGGTATTCATAGCGCTTGTCACGCCTCCTTCCGGTACGCACGAGATGTGGTTGCGTGTCTCCGTACGTAGGTGGGCGGGGGGCGGGCCTGGTGGGGCAGGAAACCTCTCCGTTATGCCGGTGATGATGATGACGGATGTAGATTCCGGCTGGAGCCTTTGCTGCCTACCTTGGGACATGGATGACCTCGGGCGGTGGAGGAAAGAAGATCGGCGAGATTTTGTGGTTTACGGATTGGGGATTGGGACGGAAGCGGCGAAAAAGGGTTTATGAAAAGTTTGAGGACATTAAGACCACTGTTGCAGAGCTGTAGCTGCCCCCTACATATGCAATTCAACTGCGGGCGTGGCACGTGCATGTACAGAATCACAGCGGTCCGCGAACCCTCCTTCCGGCAGTCTCGTTGCAACGACTGCAGCCCCGCGATAAGTTCCAAAGCGGCAGCAAGATGAACGGCGTCGCACTTCTGAAGCCGAGGCTGCGGCCAGTGCGATGTTCCAGTTGACCTGGGACCTGTGAGGTGCAGCTTGTCCAAAATTAGCAAGACACGGCTATGCTCCGAGAACATGAGGTTGATTGCTGCGGGCGACTTTCACACCTGCGCAGTGTCACAAAGCGGCCAGCTACGATGCTTCGGAAGCAATTCCTCCGGCCAGTGCGAGCATCCGAAGACATTGACGGAGGTGATTGTGGCCTGGATTGACTGTTCCGTGGCAGGTTGTCTCCAAATCACGTGCTGCCTGCATGCATGCGCAAGCCAAGGCGGTGGCTGCTGGCGCAAATTTTACTATAGCTTTGTCACTGGACGGCAAAATCTCCTGCTTTGGAGCCTCCGGGCACGGGCAGTGCGACTTGCCAGAACAGTTACAAGCGCTGGTGTTACAGGACCAGGACCTCTGCACAATGCCATGCCTTGCCTGCAGAGAGAGTCAGAGAGAGTGTAGCGATATGACCCGATGCACTTGCGATGGTCAGGAGATTCAGGAGCCAGAGGAGCCCGAAGCGTTGAGTTCTCCGAGTTTGAGTCCGGTCGCCGCAGACGATCCTGAGCCCTGCCGTGATTTGCTAGGCGGACGCATGCTGAATAAATTCCGCTACCGTCGGTGTTAAGGACCTTGCTGATATCGACCCGTTTCCGGAGCCGCTGCCTGGCTGAACAGAAAGATCAGAAAGCGTGTGTCTCTGCACACTCCGAGCGGTTCTAATTACATCGCGGTTCAGACGAACACAGGCCAGCGGAAGAAGATGCCTTCTCGGCAGGGGCAGAGGCAGAGCCTTTGATGCATGCCTGTTTTGCCTTCAAGCATCAACGCCCTGGAAGCCTACGGTGGCGAGG